TTCTGTAAACACTTAAAAGGGGAGACCCAAAGAGGCTAGACACCCTGAGAGCATGGATGTGGGCTTTTAACCACACAGCCTTCTCACTGGCCTGATTGTGCCTTTTAATTAAGGATACTTGTAAGTTGTGTCCCATTGATTGACATGTCTCTTCTCTAGATAAATGCCTACATAGATAATTAAGAGGTGAATTCAAGGCTAGCCCAGGCAACTTAATGATATCTTCCCTCAACATAAAGAAAAATGAAGAGGGTTGGGGCTATAGCTCAACACATGCTAAGCTTGATGTGTTCCTTGTGATGATGACAATGACACACAACAGAACCACCCGATTTCCTATCTCATTTGGTGTGTCAGTCAGCTTTCTGTTGCTGTGGTAAGTACCTGAGGCAAACAGCTTATAAGAAGGAATGGGTTTATTTTGGCTCATGGTTTTCAAAATTTCAGTTCACGGCTAGTGCAGCTGCTTTTGAGCCTATGGTGAGAAGCCATCATGTCAGTGGAGACATAGTATAGAGGCTGCTCACCTCACAGAAGCCAGGAAGCAAAAAAGAAAGGGAAGGGGTCATAGCCTCAATATCCCCATCAAGCTCATGCCCCTATTGACCTAATGCTTGTATACTAGGCTTTGCCCCCTAAAGGTTCCACCAACCCTTGAGAACAGCAGAATAAGCCTCTGATATGTGGACTTCTGGAGGGGACATTCAACATTCAAACCACAGCATTGGAGTCTGGTTCCAAAGGAACATATCCACTTCACAATGCTCAGTGTCTTTGTTTTTTTTTTTGTTTTTTTTTTTTTTTTTTTTTCTGAGACAGGGTTTCTCTGTGGCTTTGGAGGTTGTCCTGGAACTTGCCCTATAGACCAGGCTGACCTCGAACTCACAGAGATCTACCTGCCTCTGCTTCCCAAGTGCTGGAATAAAAGGCATGCGTGCCACCAACGCCCAGCTGATTCCTCAGAGTCTTAAGAGTTCCCTTGTTCCAAAAATCCAGGTTCAAAGTCCCCTCTGGCAGTTCTGAAACACTAAAAAATCAGAAGTTACATATGTCCAAGATACAGCAGCACAGGCCAAACATTCCCACTCCCAATAGGGATAGGAGCCCAGAAAGGGAGGATTTGACTAGAACCCTCAGAAAGAGAAACTCAGTGGCGCTAACATTAACACATTGCTTAGTGACTAGTAATGGGGGATCCAGTGGTGTGACATGAGTTCTGAAGGACTTTGGTACCCCTCTGGCTTTGTTGGTAGCAGGCCACACAGCCAGTCTCAGACTGGTTCTGCTGCTGCCTCTAACTCCATTTGGCAGCCATTTCTCCACTGCAGTTTTGGCCTCACTCCCAGCTTCTCGCTTCACCGCCAGGGGCTGCTGTGGGACATGGCTCAGTCACAGCCGGCCTCGGGCTTTCGTTTGAAATTTCAGGCCAAATCTCTATAATCCCTAACTCTTGCATTCTTCAGCAACTCTGGCATCACAAGGATAAGGGCAAGTGGCAGCCACACTGGGGGTTGCGGGTGGGGCTAGTGGACTGGGGCCCACCTTAACCTCACAGTTTCTGAATGCCTTGACGTCTGAAGATGAGGAAAATCCCAGAGAAACAATTCCCTAAATGACTCAGTGCAAGCAACTAGGATGCCCCAGGGTCCTTCCTAAAATGTCTGAAAATAATTTATACTTTGCTTTTGAGCCCATGATGGATAGTCTTGCTAATTACAGGAAATCGATTCAAAGTTGTTTTTTGTTTGTTTGTTTTTTCCTGTTGTCCTTTTCTAAGCACTTCCTTTGAGACAGGGTCTCACTCTGTAGTCTAGGATGGTCTCAAACTCACACCAGACCACCAGACCCCTCAAGTGCTGGGACCTCATGCTGAGCAACCACACTTAGATTTTTTCTCTCCTTGAATAGCACTGATCTCTTCATAACTGTGCATTCTTTGGCAGTATTTGTCAACATGCTTCTTTTCTGGCCAAACTCCAAGATTTCCCAATATTTCTGCTCCAGTATGTTGCTCCTGATTCTCACTGAAAAGAAAGAAGGAAAGGAAGGAAGGAAGGAAGGAAGGAAGGAAGGAAGGAAGGAAGGAGGCTACAAGGAGCCAGAAACACCCAGGCTAAACCCTGAAAACTGTTGCCTTCGCTTACTCCTGCATTAGTCTGTTACCTTTAAACCCAGCCTCTCCCAAAGCTGCAGGGGTGGCCTCTGGTCCGGTTCCTAAATACTTATTCCCACTTGAAACCCCATAAGCATAATCTTTACAATGCTGTGTAAGTCCTCACCAGGATTGCCCATGGAGCTCTGCTTCCAGGGTTCTAATCCCCCTCTTGATTGCTTTTCCAATACAATTGGTCCCCAATTCGTATTGTGATGAAGGGATGCAATAAAGAAACCATCAAAATGGCCACTCTTTGGTCAGGGGGTAGGTTTTATTGTGGATAAGTCAGACATAGAACATCCAGAGGCATCAGAAAGAGTTCAGAGCAGACACAGAAACAGACCCGATGTGGCCAGGGCTAGAAAGCAGGGTGTGGAAAAATAAGGAGGGTGAGTGGCTGGGAGAGGGAAGCTGGAGGGAGTTTAGGGTAGAGGAGGTGGTAAGAAGGGTCGGGAGGGGGTTTGATGTGCTTGGTGCATGAGTAGGGGATTTAGGATGCCTGGAAGCCAGCCTGGGCAGGTATATGTCAAATGAAGAGCCACTATGTCCTTTCCGACAGAAATAAGGGAAATGATTTTTTTCTTCCCCCCACTCACTCCCCCATATAGGGTTTCTCTGTGTATCCCTGGCTGTCCTTGAACTCACAAAGATCTGCCTGCCTCTGATTCCAAGTGCTGGGATTGAAGGCATGTGCCACAACAGCCCAGCAGAAATGAATTTTTTTGTTGTTGTTTTTTGGTTTGACTAAACCCATTTCACAAATTCCTAAGGAATTCTGGCTTTTACCTAACTGCCAGAAATCCATCTACAGTCCAGCTTGAGCTAAGTCAGGACTGCCTTTTCTGAAATATGCATTGCCTTTTGAAGTTTGGGGCATTGCAGTCTCCTTTGAACCAGACACTATTACAAATCAGTTCCAGGGTCTGAATAGTCCATATTGTCAAGGAGTCACTGCCACCTCACTTCACAACTTTCTAGGTGCCTTGCAAACAAGTCCAGGTGACATCAAAGATGAATTAAAACATTTGCTGATCAAGAGAATGCTCAAGTCCTCTATTCTTCTCCACTCCAGAGACAGCAGTGTTTTCTTGTGCAATCCTGCCTAGTCCCCGAGACATGGTAGTGAAGATCGAAGTGACTAAATTTGGCTGTATTGGGTTATCAGGGCTGCCTTCAACTCTTGGCAAAGTGGGTATTGTTGCCATCAATGACTACATTGACTACAAATACATGGCGTACATGTTCCAGGACAATTCTACCCATAGCAAATGCCACAGCGCAGCTGAGGTTCAGAACGGGAAGCTTGTCATCAACAGGAAGGCCATCTCCATCTTCCAGCAGTGAGATCCACCATCAAATGCTGTATTTTGTGTGTGGGTTCCTCTGGCATCTATACCACCATGGAGAACAAGGCCCACTTGAAGGGTAGAGCTTAAGGTGGTATCATATCATCTCTGCTCCTTCTGATGTCCCTCATGTTTGTAATGGGTGTGAACCATAAGAACTATGATGACTTGCATACCCCCCCCCAAGGTCATCTGTAACAATTTTAGCACTATCAAGGAACTTATGACCACAACTAGTGCCATCACCACCACCCAGAGGACTGCGGATGGCCTCTCTGGAAAACAGAAAGCTGTCTAAAACATCATCCTCGCACTCACTGGCACTGCTAAGGTTGTGGGCATGGCCATCCCCAACTTAAATGGGAAACTCATTAGTATAGCCTTCTGTGGTCCTACCCCCAATGTGTCCATTGTGGAGCTGACATACCACCTGAAGTGGCCAGGTATGATGACATCAATAAGGCGGTGAAACAAGATGAAGGGCATCCTGGGCTACACTGAGGACCAGGTTGTCTCCTGCAACTTTAACAGCAATACCGACTTCCACTACTTTTTGTTTTTTTGAGGCAGGGTTTCTCTGTGTAGCTCTGGTTGTTCTGGAACTCACTTTCTAGAAAAGGCTGATATCCAACTCACAGAGATCCACCTGCCTCTACCTCCCAAGTGCTGGGATTAAAAGTGTGCACCACCACAGCCAGGCACTCCTCCAGTTTTGATGCTGGGTGTAGGGGGAATCTGGTAGTCATTGTATCTAGGGTAAATATTAGATGAAATAGTTGTTTCTCACTGTATCCAGGGTCATATTAGAATGAAATAGTTGTTTGTTGGAGGTACTTAGACCTTGAAGAAACCACAGTAGAGAGCAATGATTGTTTTCTATGATTCAGAGTTGTTTTTCTGAAGGAGTTTTCCATTCATTGCATGACTTTGGTCATAAGACTGTCCTAGCACACCTGCATGTCTTGCATGTTGGGTACTGCAAACACTACAAATTAAGGACTGAAGTTGCAGGGGTGTGAAATTTTTCTTCAGAGAACATAGAGAATAGATCAAAGGCGTTTTAGTTTGAGGAACTTGTTTTATAATAAAAAATTCACTTCTGAATGGCTAGAGGTTCAGTCCATCAGAGCCTCTTTGGTGCCAAAGAGCCTAAATGACATTCTGGAGTGACCCTCTTTCTTTGATTGTCCTGTGCAACACAGAACACCAACAGCTGGAGTTGCATCACTTTAGCACCTTTGTCAACCTCACGCCCTCGTGAGACAATGAATAAGGCTATAGCAACAGGGTGGTGAACCTCACAGCCTACATGGCCTTCAAGACAATGAAGCCCCGAACCACACACCACAGCAAGAAGAGAGGAAGACAGAGGCCCTGAGTTGTTGAGGAGTTCCTATCCCAACTCAGAGCATGTCCTGTTTCTATCATAGATCCCCAGAAGAGAGCCCCACTCTCATGAATACCACCAATAAAGTTCACTGTACCCACTCACAAGAAAAAAATGCTTAGAACTGTATTTTATTCAAAAAAAAAATAAACTCAAAGTTCCCAAACATGTTAGAAGTCTTAAATAAAGCAGCTTAGTTACAAAATTTGAAGCCTTCAATCAAGAACTTCTGCTACAAACTATGACATTATTCTAAAGTCATACTCATTTTGAAAACTCGGATTTTTATAGCTACAAAAATAGCAACATGTTGAAAATCCTTATTTTGCTAACACACACACATATAAAGCAACACAACAGTATACACAGTCCACAGTCTCTAAACAACTAACCAGTTGCTCTGAGAAAGTCCAGGGGCCTGAGGTTTCTCTTCCCTTCTGCCCAAGGTCAGAAGTCTTGGCGGATGTTTTCCTTGTTTGCCTCCCCATGCTGCTGCTTGATTTGACAGATCTCATTCTCCAGCTGCACAATAGTCCTTTCAATCTCATAGTTCTTGCTTACCAGGGATACCCAACTAGGAAAAGGGAAGAAGATTAAGTTTAAAAAAAAAAAAAAAGACTTGATTCAAAATTTCAGAGTTTATCTTAAACATATAGTTTCCTGGTCACTAACATTTTAACTTCTGTTTAAAAAATCATGAAGCACACCTTTGGGGAAGTAGTGAAGGGTACAAAGAATCTCTCTTTGTTATTTCTTTTTTTTTTTTTTCCCGAGACAGAGTTAAGTAGCACCCCTGGCTGTCCTGGAACTCACTCTGTAGACCAGAGATCTGCCTGCTTCTGCTTCCCAAGTGCTGGGATTAAAGGCATGCACCACTACTGTCTGGCTGATTTTTTTTTTTAATTTACTAATTTATTATGTACACACTGTTCTGCCTGCATGTATCACTGTAGGCCAGAAGTACCAGATCTCATTATAGATGGTCATGAGCCATCATGTGGTTACTGGGTATTGAACTTAGACCTTTGGAAAAGCAGCCAGTGCTCCTAACCTCTGAGTCATCTCTCCAGCCCTCTGCATTATTTCTTAAAATCGTTAAGTGAATCTACAACTGTCTCATGATAAGTTTTCCTTAGGAAATAAGCAGAAACAGGAGAGAATTAGTGAGACAGGAGAGACAGGAAGGGGTAAGGGAAGACAGCATAAGACTAAAACAGAAAACAGGGCAAAGTCTTAGAAAATAGTTGACAAGATTCTAGAATTAAAAAAAAAACAAAAAAACAAAACAAAACAAAACAAAAACAAAAACAAAAAAACAACCAAATCCATAAACTTACAGAAGTCACTAGGTCCTGTAAATAAATCTCAAGGACAAATTTAAAAGAAGCATGAGCTTGAAGGAAAATGTGGAAGAGACCAGACATTGATGACTCTGATGATGGGAAGAGGGACAAGGGGTGTAGGTGATGAAGGGGAAAGCAGAAAAACAGAAATGACTGAAAAACCCATCACTAGACATAGGTATTTAATTCTTCTTTTTGGAAACTGGGTCTCTCACTCTGTAGCCAAGGCTGGCCTTAAACTTCTTGCTAAACTTCTCACATGCTGGGACTAAGGTGCTCATGGCCACATACAGCTTATAGTTAGGGATTTCTATAAATGATACATGTATGTATATATAAAAGAATATTTCTACCCGGGTGGTGGTGGCGCATGCCTTTAGTCCCAGCACTCAGGAGGCAGAGGCAGGCGGATCTCTGTGAGTTCGAGACCAACCTGGTCTACAAGAGCTAGTTCCAGGACAGCCTCCAAAGCCATAGAGAAACCTTGTCTCGAAAAACAAAAAAAAAATCTAAAATAATATACAATGACAAGGGTAAACAAATTAAGGCACAAACAAATTAGGCAAAGAATGAAATTCCTCTTCTTACAAGATTAAGGACCTCAAGTCGGGGGCTGTGAGACTAGCACCACTTAGCAGTAGCTCAGCCCTTGCCTGTAGTCCCAGCTACTCCGTATGTGCCTCCCTCAGCAAAGGGCAGGTACACAAACAACCCCATGTGAATACTACTGTTAACTGTAAATCTTGCTCTTAGAATACACTAAACTTAAAACACAATGAAATTATACACTCACTTGGATTCCATTTCTCTCAATTTAGATCCAGCTGAGAGTTGCATGTTTTTTCGCTGCCAGTTTAAATCTTGAATATGTTTCCTATAAAAATATTTTATACAACCCATTGACATTTCAACATACGACAAAAATCAACAGGACAAAATAATACAAGAAATTATCTTTAAGCTCTTTAGGCTCACAATTACAGGTTAATTTCAGGAATTAACTTTGTTGTATTCTAATTATTTTTTAATTACACCTTTCAGAGAATATGCTCATTGTGGGAGAAAAACAAAACACCAACCAATCCACAAACATGTATGTAGATTACAAATTCTTCCTTCCACACACTTTTTCCTGGCAACGGTTGTGGGGTTTTCAAGGAGTACCTACCACACTTGGAACGCTTACCCTGTCTAGCATTCACACTGGAGCATAAATGCTACTTTGGGATGCCCCGGGGATGGAAGCCGGTCCAGTTACAGTACTTAGTGGTGTACTTTAAGGAGGTTATCACAAGAGAACAGAACTCCAAATACAGAATACTAGTGGCTTTGTAGTTAGAAACCAGAACACACACATGCAGCTTCCTTGTCTCTTGTCATGTGATTCCATCTACAATATGGGGATCTGTCCCTAACAGGGCTGTCAACAGATGTACTTCTTCAGCCTCAACAATCTACAACTGTAAGCCAAAATAAAGATCTTTTCTTTCAGACTTATCTAGTCTGTGGTATTATTAGCAACAGAACATGAACTAAGACAGTGGATGTCCTTTCAGGTCCTTTCCTATATGTGCATGTGTGTAGTGTGTTATCTTGCAATGTCCTGCCTAACTCCCAAGGTGTTCTTTCTAGGTTTGCAGATTTGAGAATTGTAGAACATGAATACGTTTCCAGGTTTCAAGCTTATTCTTACCTCCACTTAGATACAGCAAACTCAGTGCCAGATGCTGGCCACAGTAGATTATAGTTAGTACATGGTTATTTGTTAAATGATCCACTGTTTAAAACCAAGACCAATTTAAAAACCCAAAATGAAGACAATGTATTGCACTTGTAATATACTGAGTAATATATTACAGATATATTACAGAGTGAAGCTCTGTGCTATCCAGCCATTTGGTCCTGCCAATCCACAATCTACCAGCCCTTAGACCAAGGAGTTGGCTTTCCAATGCAACATGTCTGGCTCTTCCAAATTGTAACTATGAAGGTGCTTCAGCACCTCTGGTTGGAGGCCAGGTCAATTTCCCAGGTTTCCCTGCCAGCTGTTCAACATGACCACTGCTGACTAGAGTATCCTCAGGTACAAATCCCTTCAGACAGCAGGCATGGGTTTTGAGACAGTGTCTCACTATGTAGCCCTGGCTGTGAGCATCTGAAGCACTGGACTAGAGCTGTGCTCCATACTCCTGGCTCAATCTCTGAAATGTTCAGGGGTTTCCCAACCCACTTCTCATAAACCAGCAAACACGCAACAAAGTCTATCCCAAGTTTCCCTCCAATACATTCCACAACATACAAACTTTGACTTTTGCTACTCTTTGTTATTTCTCTTGAAATTTACAAACTTCTATTTGTCAAAGGTAATTATTTTGGCCACACTGACAGCAATACACAACTGAAAATTAGTTGCTTAAGGAAAATGGATAGCTATTTACTTTCACAGGACTATAGTGTTAATGGTTTTCTTCCCCCAATCTGTCAGGGCACACCTAAATTTTATTCAAATAGAAAAAAACCAACTTACCTTAACTTCTGAAGCTCCTTCTGTGCATGTTCAATCATATGAACGAGGTTTCTAAGGAAGAACACAAACACTCTGAAATCTGGTATCACCAATGAAAACTGAACTACCTATTGTATTACACAAAGTCAGGTTTTTCTGCTTAAATTACTAAATCCTGGGATCTCTGTGCCTAGTATGTCTGATAATTCCTATTAGCCTGTTTAACCCAGCACTCGGGGATTAAAGGCATGCACCACCACCCAAGATGCTATTTCTTAAATCCTCAGGGCTCTTGTTTTGGAGACAGTGCCCCACTATGCAGATCAGGGTGGCCTTGAACTCCTGTTCAGGCAATCCTCTTGCCTCAGCCTATGTTCAGGTAGCTGCAAAGTTACGGAACGGACCACCACACCCACATGCCACATCAACAACTTGTGACAGCAGATCACCTTCCAGATCTCCAGGAGCGACCCTGGTAAGGCTCCTCCCTGTGCTTTCTGGCTTCTGAGTTCAGATTGGCTGCTGCTCATCCTCATTTCTCTCCTTGTTTCATCACACAGTTGCACCCATCCAGGTTTCCCCTCTGCTCTTCGCTCTGAGGCTTCACCATGCCCCTCATACTGACGGGATCTTTTTGGTTCTGTCCTCTGATCATTAAAAACGATTTTTTTTTTTTTTTGCTTGTTTGAACTTTCTTCTTGAAAGTTTACTTTGATAGCATATGCTTTCTGTGGAAAAGTATCTATTGGGTTTGGAGGAGGCAAAATATGCTCTGAATGTCTACCAGAGAGCTGTGACTAAAGGAAAGTGCTGTGCTTACATGTGCACAGCAGTCAGTGACAGAAGAGCTGCAGGCGGAACCTGAGTTAAAGACAACAAGCAGACTAGACAGCGACTTTCTTCTCCTTTGCTCTCTACACTGCCTGTCTCTCGTCCCAGGAGAGACAGTGTAGGCTGACCTTCACCTTGAGATTTTCTTGTCTCCACCTCCTAAATGCTGGAATTTTAGCTGTGTCATCACCATGTCAACTTTCCTTGCTGACTTATGACTCCGATCGCTCATCTGGGTGTGGGCGTGGGTGTGAGGCATCAAACCTATAGCTTGTGCACGCCTGGTAAACACTGTACCATCGCCACTATTGGATTCCACCATCCTTTTTAAAATCTGTTTGAGAAAGGGTCTCAACCCAGTTTGGCACTGAACTTCTGATCTTCCCAAATGCTTGGCTTAAAGATGCTACTGGGTCCAGTTTCTACTATCCTTTTTAATGACTTTTTTTTTTTTCTGAGACAAGGTCTAGGCATGTGAATTAGGCTGTGACTTAGAGCTCGCCTCCTAAGCATTGCAGACTACAGGTGAGTGACCATCTGGCCAGGACTTTAAAGAACATGACAGGTGAATATGACAATCAGTGCTGGGCATTGGTGGCACATGCCTTTAATCTCAGCACTTGGGAGGCAGAGGCAGGTGGATCTCTGTGAGTTCGAGACCACCCTGGTCTACAAGAGCTAGTTCCAGGACAGCCTCCAAAGCCACAGAGAAACCCTGTCTCGAATAAAAAAAAAAAAAATCAGACTGCATTCTATAGTACTCTGTCAATCACCCTCCAAACTCATTTTCTTATATCATACAGTGAACACATTATGTGTTAATTATGTGAATGTAGGCTAGCTTAGCACTGGTAAACTCTAAGGTAGGACTAAATAAAGTCTTTGTTGCTGTACTGATACATTCTCAAGTCAAATCCAGCATTATTATTGTTGTTATTTTGGATATAGGGTTTTACTATAATAAGCCTAGGACGACCTTAAATTCAATATATAAACCAGGTAGGCCCTGAATCTGTGGTAGTCCCCCTGCCTCAGTTTCCCAAGTGCTGGGATTCTAAGTATGTACATACTACACCTTTAAAAGACACTGAAAACTCTAGATGGGACAGGGTAAGAGAGGAGGTAGAACAAAGCTTCTTACTCATTATATACTTTCCAGGCATTACACCCATGCTGTGACATCAGTTCCAGATTCTCAATTCGCACTGCTTGATGCTCTAACTGGGCCATGGAATTGTTTACACACTCTTGCCATGCAGTAATGTCATTTTTCTGACCCGAGGAAGGGGCTGGAAGTTCATATCTGAAATTATACAACAAATAAATAAACCAACATATCTTGCCAAGCCTCCATCACTCCTTCCAATAGAATCCCCATGGATATATGCCTGATACACACACAAAGAAATAAATTACCACCCCTCCCCCTGCCCCAAAATGACTGTGGCAGTAAAAGAAACCAATTACCCTGGAAACTAATTTACAAATAAAACACAACTGTATGCTGTAACAAAAAAAAAAAAAATTTTCATAAATGTGAACTAGTTAACCTGTAAAAGTCACAGAGACTCTGATGTCTCTCATCCCTGTTGAGATGAGACCCCTCTTGGGTAAAGTCTGCCTTACCATCTTTTTGAAAGTTGCTTAAATGTATTATATTTGCTAACATTTTTGTTTAAAGAAAAAAGGCCGTGATCATGTTTATAACTGGCAGCACTGTATCTTCTAATCTCACTGCTCACGGCCTCCACACAGCTGGCAATGCTCTTCCCAACCTCAGCCACCGCTGTCGAGTTCCCCCCAAGCCTAACCTCACTCACCGCTTCATGCTGAGTAATTCAATTGGTTGTCGAGCAGCTAGCCTCTCAAATTCGTTTCTCATTATGTCAGTCTGATGAAGAAACAACACAAAGAATTAGTACCAGGATCAGGTTGAAAATAATGTTTACTGAGATCTTATACTTTGTACTACATTATAATGGATCTTTTTGCTTCTCTCAATTACCAACCCCATCTCCCTTTTTAAAGGATATTAATATTTGACCCAGGTCTCACACATGTTCTCCCACTATGCTACACTTTCACCATCCCCCAGTTTGGGTCTGGGCTTAATTTTATCTAGGGTCTTGAAGAAATAGACACCCACTTTAATTCTATAGTCTGCCCAGGCACAAAAGGAGGCAAACATAAAAGAACCTGTGTGTTAAGGATTAACCCTCAATCAGCAGTTTTCAATGCACTGCAATCAGTTGTGGAGCTGTGAAGACAACTTTTACCCAGCCACACATTACATTGTATTTCACAACATATGAGAGCCTTGAATCTGAGCCAAATGTTTCAGGCAGTCTCTAGTGCTGTGTAGTGTGACACAGTGTAAATCCCACATACTCCAGTTTAAAACCTCGACTTCAATAAAGTCACAAGATGAAACATTGGATTTGAGACTTGATTTCTGAACTAATCACATGGAGTTATAAAAACCCCGGGAGGGGTTACAACACAGTTGTAACCTGGGTTCTAAATGAGGAAGGTATCACAACAACTAACCCCACACAGGGAGCAGTTTCTCTGCCTGAAAAACCTCTCTCAACCATCTAATTAATGTATGACAGTCACCCAGTTGCTATCACATCTGTGTAGCCCTGGCTGTGCTAGAACTTGTTTTGTAGATCAGGCTGGCCTTGAACTCACAGAGATCTACCTATCTCTGCTTCCCGAGTTCTGGGATTAAAGGTGTGGGCCACAGCCAACCAGCAACATCATTAATTTTCTATTTGGCATTTATCAAAAATATCCGAGACTTTTTAATTTATCTGCCCATCTCAAAACTAGAATCTAAGTATTATGAGGATACGAACTGTGCCTATTCTGTTCTGTAATACATTGCATATTCTGTTCAGTTTGCATAGACAGTACATAAGCACTTTCTGAATAGGAGTCCAGTAGTCTAGGAAGCAACAAGAATTCATACATGCAACTGCAACAAATTAAAAAGCTTTTCCGATAGGGGGTGGCAGCGCACGCTTTGATCCCAGCACCTAGAGGCAGACGGATCTCTGTGAGTTCGAGGCCAGCCTGATCTACTTGAGGCTCTGTCTAAACTCACACACACACAATCCTGCATCAAGAGCTGGACATGGTGACTTACACTTGTAATTCCAACACTCACAAGCCTGAAGCAGGAAGATTATCCCAAGTTCAAAGCTGACCTGTCTTAGTGAGTTATAGGCTAGCATGAGTTCCAGCCTTAAAAACCTTAATTGGCAGAAGAATAAAAATGAACAGTTATGTAATTCATAGGACCATTTTCTGAGCTAGGAAAAATAGTTCAATACACCATTAACAACTACTAAGAAAGTATTAAATTAACCAGAACACTAATTATAAAGGCAGGAACCGCGCTGCATTTTAAAAGGTTAGAAAAAATGTATTAAAGCATTTAAAAGTTTGCAAATGAACACCTGATTAGGACCTAAATGGTATTTTGGTTGCACTTGTAGGATAACAATTTTAAATGGTATGCAGTTAGGCATGTTTGTTCAGGCATTCATATATCCGCTAACTATCTGAGTTTTGTTACAAAAATCTCCCTTCAGTGGTTGCAAAGAGTACAGGTAGTTAAGATTATAAATATTAAAATCCCGTGATTACTACCTGTTTTTGACTGGACCTTAGAGAATAAAGGATAAGGGGTCCTTTAGGGAAGTTTACTAGGGACTCTTAAAAATAAAAGACCCAAATATTTTATTAAACAAGTCTGCAGAACCAATAAAGTATTTCTTGTAATACGAACCCTGAGGAAAGCTCATCTGGCTATTTTGAACCAACTGATCTTGACATGCAACATGAGCAGCAAGCAGCAGTTGCTTCCAGAGCTAAAGCCCTCAATCCGAAATCTAAGCCGGCAAGAATCCTGGTCAGGATGCGGGACTCAGGACACCGCACTTACTTCAAAGGCAGAATAATCCGGGGCTGTCAGGTAGCTCAGGTAGTTCTTGGTAGGTCGGTATCTGCGAGTTTCCTCCTCCACCAGGGCCGCAGCCTAAGAAAGAGAACAAACCGGGGTCAAGGCGAGAAAGGGAACCATGCCTCGGGTGACCCCCACCCCCGCACGCGCCCCATACTCACCGCTTCCCGCACGCCGGGAGCCTCGTAGCCTTGGTCAAAGTACGGCAACGCATCCACCACCACCTCCCCGGCTACCAAACCCGTGCCTGCCATTGCGCGGCACTCTGCTCCACCAACGCCGTCAGTCTGCGCCGGCTCGCTGCTATGCCACTGCGCCTGCGCGCGGGATGACGTCACACACAGCGCCGCCTCTCGGATTCGGGCCGTGTGCAGAGCGGCTGATTCTGTAGCCGCTAGGTCTTAAGGACTGTTTTGTTTGAGGCCTTGCGCACTGACGTCCCGGTAGACCTGGGATTATGCCTGTCTTTCCTCCATGGCTACGAGGACGATTTTATTCGAGTTTAAGAGAAAAACAACAGGGCAGACCGGAGGCAAGACATGCCCTTTGAGTTAGACATAGATGCTAGCAATGCAGTGAGACTAGCATAGTAGGAGGGAGAGGGGTTTAAAAGACTGAGAATTGGGGCGTGGGAACTTTTCAAGAGGTGGTTGCTGGACTTCACTGGAGGGGAGAAATATACTTCCCACGCCCTTTAAAGAAGCTGGGGGTAGGCGTTGGTGGCGCACGCCTTTAATCCTAGCACTCGGTTGGCAGAAGCAGGCGGATCTTTGAGAGTTCGAAGCCAGCCTGGTCTACCGAGCCAATTCCAGAATAGGCTCTAAAACAATACTGAGAAACCCTGTCTCGAAAAAACAAAAAACAAAAAGAAGCTGGGGGTAAGCCGGGCAGTGGTTGCACACTCCTTTAATCCCAGCACTTGGGAGGCAGAGGCAGGAGATCTCTGTGAGTTAGAGACCAACCTGGTCTACAAGCTCGAGTTCCAGGACAGCTCAGTGGTAAAGCCCCATCTCAATCTTCAGCGCTACAAATGAACACCTCATCCTTCCAAGGACTGGAATTCTGTCTACAGGATGCTTTGCTTAAAAAGCTTTGCCATGTTTTTGTCTCTGGGGCCTACATAAAACCCAATCATTTTGCCTTTAGGATTTGTGGTAATAGTGATCCTCCTAGGCTCCCTTCCCCTCAGGCTGTAACTAGTATACATTCTCTGTTAAGTATACCCCAAAACTAAGAGGTAAATGCAAAAAAGATTGTTGGACCTATGTGTCCTGCCTAATGGGCATTCAACCAAGGCTTATCTGTTAGAAAAGTTGGTCTCAGCTATAAGCCTGGTTATTCTAAGATTGATATGGGTATTTATGATTTTACATTATGTAAATGTGCTGCCTATAGGTTTAAGTAAAGTGAAAGAGCTTCACAACTTGTGGTTTGATGAGAACTGCCTCTCCTAGACCTACATATTTGAACACTCCCAGTTGGTGGCGCTCTTGTGGTTTAGGAGGTGCAGCCTGGCTGGAGGAAGTAAGTGACTGGAGTTTAAAGCCTCACAGTGTGTTTGCGCTCTGCTTCCAAGTTGCTGTTTGAAGATGAGAGCCCTCAGCTCCCGACTCTGGTCTCCGTGCCTTTGGCTTGGTGCCATGCTTCCTCACCATGATGGACTCTGACCCCCTGGAACTGTAAGCCAAATAAAGTTGCTTATTTTTATCACTGCAACAGAAAAGTAACCAATACACATCTCAAGTGGATTTATTTTAAATTCTCCAAGAGATCAGTGGGATTTTAAAATGCCTTTATTCATTAAAATATCTGTAAACATTTGCTAGAAATCTCGAACAATCCTTTTTTACAAACATATCCAGAATTCACAATATTTTACAAAAACAAAATACAACAAACTTAAGGAAAGGAAGCAGCTTTAAATTCTAAGAAGGTAAGACTCTCACCCTCAAAACACAATCTCCCTGCAGAGGGGCAGCCACAACCAGCCACAGTAAACACTCATTCCCATCTTATAAACAACTAATTACCAACTGTTCCTTCAGGGTTGGAGTATAAGAAGACACCCAATGGGGAGATGTCTGAGAAGAGTGCCACAGGGGTAAGCGACACCAACATTTAAGACACAGGCTCAGTTCTTTTCCCTGGACCCACATCTGGGAACTATATTGCACAGCACCAGTCTTACATGGGTTCATTCAGACACTTTTGAATGGGTGATAATGGCAGTGGTGTACAAGTCAGTCAGTTATATCCCAATACAATGTACAACACTTTCTAAGTCTGAATGAGTCTTTTCCATGCTAGGTAACACCATTAGCAAAGCTTGAAGAAAACAACTGACATTTGCCACAACATTTATCATTTATCAATGAAAATTGCACCTACACTGACAAACTTCTATTCTCAGGCACTACTCAAGCATTTCAGCATCTGGTTGATGAAGAGGTATAGGTTTAGGAAATACTCTGAGTCTAGTTAGAATAAAAACACAACAATGTAAAAGTAATCAGTATGGCAGAGCACATATAAAGCCCTGGGTTCTGCTCCCAGCACCAAAGACAAAACAAACAAAAGAAACAGTGTCTCATTTAGACACCCAGAGCTTGAAGTTTCATCAAAGCCTACAGGTGGCTCTGGTATACTTCTTGGAGAACTTTAAATATTGCTATAACACTAAGGAGCCCAACTTTCTATCTGTAGGACTAACCAGATTTCTCTGTGTTCGTAAGGCAAGTGTTTTAGTTTAGTTCTATCTTAAGTGTGTAACTGGCCAAATTATTTAACCCCTTTGAACTCTAGTTTCTTGCAAAATATCACAAAGCTGACCAAGAGCTTGAATAAAATAGCATATGTAAATGTACCACAGTGCAGCAAATGGTGGACACCAAAAGCCAACAAACAGGGAGCTTATGTCCTTAAAAGGACATTTTCATATTGGCTGTAATATCCACAAAGCATAATAATGCTGATAGGCGAGAGGCAAGCTATTCCAGCAGGACACATGTTCTGGTGAGGACTGGCATGGTGTCTGCTTTTTTTTTGTTTGCTTTTCTTTTGGTTTTTCCAAGACAGTTTCTCTGTGGCTTTGGAGGCTGTCCTGGAACTAGCTCTTGTAGACAAGGCTGGTCTCGAACTCACCGAGATCCTCCTGCCTCTGCCTCCCGAGTGCTGGGATTAAAGGCGTGCGCCACCACCACCCGGTGGTGTCTGCTTTCTTAAGGTAGTAACATGAGTGAAATTCACCAAGGTAGGCCATGGGACAAAAGGGGGCTCTCAATGATGAAAACACTAGAATTTGATAGCACAAACAGAACATGGGTTTAAAGCAACTCGATGCTTTCCTGCTGAAAATCATGTGTAAGGTGTAATCATAGTGTTCTTCATCTCTACTGAGCCTCTCTAGTACCTGGAACTCAGCATTTCTCTCGTTATTCTCATCTTGGTATTGTTTTTTAAAAAATGCAACACCAAGTATTTCTGGGTCTTCTTGTATAGACAACTGCTTTCATAGACTAAGCACAAAATAGATCTCCTTGTAACCACCAATAACTAAAGAGAAAACACCACAGTAAAAATAACTTGGCCTGGTGTGGTGATGCTTGCCTTTAATCCCAGCACTTGGGAGGCAGAGGCGGGTTGATCTCTGTTGAGTTTGAGGCCAGCTGGGTCTGCAGAATAAGTTCCAGGCCAGTCAGTCTGGTTTACATAGAGAGAGAGACCCTGTCTCAAAAAAAAAAAAAAAAAAAAGGCAAAACAAAAACCAAAACCAAACCAATGAACCAAACCAACTAAACATAAAGTCCCCAAAGTAGAAGAGGAAGAGAGTGCATTGGTTCTAGACTGCTCCAGGTTGGTCTGCAGCGATAGGAGAGCACTCCTTTGACAGCCTTTTCTCCTTTTACAATTCAAGGACTCTGTAGGACTCTTCAAGGCATCCAAACCCTTGGAGAAATGCTGTCTTTGGCACTTTCACTTATGTGTAGAAGACAGATTCACTTCTTGTGGAGAAACCTCATTTTGCTTCCTGGAAGGAGGAAAAGAGCAAGAATGCTTCTATTACCTTCACCTGTTGTACCTCTGAGGCAAGACAGTAACAACCTAGCCATTCAGAACCACTCAGAGTTTAGCAGCCTTGTCAAGTGCTGTGGTCTGGATAAGTGTCCCCCAAAGTCCTATATGTAAAAGTCTGGTCCCCAGCTTGTGGCACTATTGGAAAGTAATGGAACCTTAAAGATAGGGGAAGGGGCTAAAGGGAGAAGGTCTGGTCCTGAGTGTGTGCTTGTAGGTACTTGGCCCCTTCTTGTCTCTACTTCCTGGCAGCCATGACACAAGCAGCTTCTTCTACCCACATCTTGCCTGCCATGAAGTATTACCTTGCCACAGGCCCAAAAGCATCAGGGCCAATCAGCCATGAGCTGAAAATCCCCAAGCTAGGAGCCCAAATAAGCTTCTAGAGTCTAAAGCCCCATCCTTATCATCTCAGGCATTCTGTTGCACTAATGGAAAACTATCAGTTGATGTGTTTAGCCACTAAAAAAACCCATGAGTGTCTAATTGCAGAGGTGGAAAAGAATTCAAGACATAATCTAATACAAGTGGTTTTCAACTCAAACTGGAGTTTCAAATTACCTGGCTCACTCCCTGGAGATTTCTCGGAGCTTAAGGGAAACTTTTTTTTTTTAAGTCCCTAAAGATGATCATCTGATCTAATCTAACCCCAAGGTACAGATGAAATCATAACCTGCAGCATAATTTGCCCATGGTCTCTCAGCTAGGTAAGGACAGGGTCAAATCAGGGGCATATATCCCGAAGCTGAGTTTAAGATCATTGTTTTGGATAGATGCACCACTGTTCTCATGTCATACAGGAATTTAAAAATCATAAGAAATGCAAAATTAGAGTGAGGCATCCTCTCTGCCCTGGAGTCCACCAGGTCAGGTATTTTATCTGAAGGCCATGGATCCGAGTGAGGGCTCCATGGACACACTAAAATTATATGTTAAAATTTATCCCTTTGTATTTTTCTGGTAAATAGGACCACTTTAAAAAAAAAAAAAAAAAAGCATGCCCAAAGGATGTAACCCAGAAAATTCGTGATCATGACACAGAAACTTCTTCATACGGTTAATTAGGCGCTTCACTAAGGGAGGCAGCCCAGAGCCCACCCTGGCGGGGAATTCCCAGCATTAGAGGTGACATGCTTTCTGAAACATTAGGAGCTAGGATCACAGTGTCCAGTCAGACAGCTTGAGGTTGCATTGCCAACTGATTGTGAGTCTTTGGGATGAGGTTTGTTTACTGTGAAGCTTTTTTACTGTCATTTATCTAACAGGAGAGCAAAGTAACTCACCAAGACTCCGCAAAATTCTATTCACCCCACTGGGCTCCGACTCAGGAATTGTTTCCAAATATTGGAGAGCCCGGACTTCAAATAAACCTATGAAGAAGACATTGGTGAGACTGTCCAACACTATCCTGGAAATGAATTAAATAAAACCTTTTTCTTTCATTTTTTGGCAGTGCTGTGGGCAGACTCAGGTCTTTGTGCATGCTAGGCTCAATATACTACTGAGCTATACCCCCAGTCTAAGATGGCTCTCCTTTTAATGCCTTTTTTTTTACTTGTTTATTTACTTAATTTTGTGTACATTCATGCTTTTATGTAAGTTTATGGGGCTGGCATGTGCAAGCCACAGCACACATACAGAGGTCAGAGGTTAGCTTGTGGGTATTTGTTCTCTCCTTCCAGAACACTGAGCCAGGGATGGATCTCAGGTTGTTAGGGACGCTAACAAAAGCCTTTACCAGATGATCCATCTTCCTAGCCCTAATTCTGGGTGTGTTTTTTGTTTTTAAAGATTTTATTTATTTATTATGTATACAGTGTTCTGCATCAAATCTCATTACAGTTGGTTGTGAGCCACCATATGGGTGCTGCCAATTGAACTCAGGACCTCTGGAAGAACAGTCAGTGCTTTTTTTTTTTTTTTTAAGATTTTATTTATTTATTATGTATACAACATTCTGCTTCCATGTATATCTGCACACCAGAAGAGGGCACCAGATCTCATTACGGATGGTTGTGAGCTACCATGTGGTTGCTGGGAATTGAACTCAGGACCTCTGGAAGAACAGGCTCTTAGCCTCTGAGCCATCTCTCCAGCCCACAGTCAGTGCTTTTAACCTCAGAGCCACCTTGCCAGCCTTCAATCCAGTGTTCTTATTACCAGTGTATTATTGTACAGTTAAACAGTATTGCAGATAATTCCCACAGTAACTCAGATGTGTCCTTGTAAGTCCACACATTTTGTCTATTATTCAATCCTTCAAAGTATTCACCAGAGAGGAGGGACTGGTTTATGGTAGAACCCACCTTTAACTCCGCTTTGCCTAAGCTCCCGGTCCTGGACAAATCCTGCAAACATCTGTGTCTCCATGAAGAGATCTAGAAAGTGGCGGACACTTCGGGAAGTGTGGGACTTTCGGAATGGCTCCCTCTGGAACACACGCTCCCCACGCTCTGTGACAGTCATATTCAGAGAATAATGTCCCACGAGTTCCACAAAGAACCTTACAAATGCTTCAGACACCAGGGAATTGAGTGTCACATCTGTTTCAAAATGAAAGAAATAAAGAGAAAAATCTAAGCTTTGTAAGTGTGGGAATATTGATGCTAGTTATGGAAGCCATGTCTAAAGAGTCATGAAAAACCAGGAATAAATGCAGGAATGTGCATTATTAGCTTGCTGCACAGCCCATGGCATGCAGAAAGCAAATGGCTTCTGTTGTAACCTATGTTTCCTCTCATGGTACTTTTAGTGCATCTTGCAGTCTGGCTTCACACTATGCTTTCATTACTCATGCAAATACAACCTGTTTTTCTACTTCTCCCTTCTGTGCTATCTCTGTGCCCCTCTATGCTTCCCTGGCCTCCTGACTCCTGTCTAGCCCTGTGAATGACAATTTGGTTTTCCCTTGCCCCTCATCCTCCCTGAGGGTGGTCCTTGGACCAATTCCTTTCACCAGTCTACTCCTTAGAAAGCTAACTGGCAGCCACACCTGGTGGCTCACATCTGTAATCCTAACAAATGAGAGATGCAAGCAAGACTATCAGGAGTTTAAGGTCATCCTCAGCTATATAGTGAGTTTTGAGGCCAGTTTGGGCTGTGTGAGATCCTGTCTCAAACAGAAGCAGCAGCAGCCAACAAACAAAGCCAACTGGCACAGAGACAGAGCTGGCTGTGCAATTCGAAGTCTTAATCTATAGACCAGTATTTCACCCTTTCTGTTCTCAGGCTGTCTATGGCAGTCATTATTTGGCTGTCCCATTATAAATTGCCTAATTGATAAAATGCATAAATTCCATTTGTCTAGAAGTCACCATATCACATCCTTTACAAAACTTGGTAGGCTATGAGCCAATTAAAATAAGGTATGTCAAAACACAAATTCACTGTATTTTTCTACAAATCACTTGCCTCCTCAACTTTCTTACCTCCTATTGCACTATGATTTATTCTAATAATAAGTCATTGAGTACATGCCAGGCACTATACCAAGTACCCTTCAAAGACAATAATCAGACATGCTTCCATTGCTTTCTATATGCCTGTCTATCCATCCATCCATTTTGACTCCAACACTAACCTCTCTCTTTAAGATCTTTATACGTTACCTAGGCTGGTCTCAAATTTAGGATCTTTTACTACCTTCCAAGTGCTGAGACTACCGGAACTGTGCCTGGCAAAATAATACTTCAATTCATGGTGGGCTTTGTTTTTTTTTTTAAGACAAGGTCTCTCCAGACTGGCCTGGAATTCACCCTGTAGACCGCCCCCCCACACACACACACCTCTGCCTCAGAAGGCTAGGATTGAAAGCACTCGTTACCACACCCTGCCTCACAACAATGCTTTATCACTCCTCTAGTTCTCCTCCTTCCAACATGTTCCTATCAGTAAACAGCCTTGGCTTCCATTCTGAAATGGCGATGATGACATTGCTTTTTGTTGTTTTGTTTTCTGAGACAGAGTCTCTCAGTACAGCCTTTGCTGATCTGGAACTCATTGTGTAGACCACGCTGGCCTTGAGAATAAACTATGCCTACTGACACATGCCTTTTTTTTTTTTTTTTTTTTTTTTACTTTTTTCAAGACAGGGTTTCTCTGTGTAGCTTTGAAGCTTGTCCTGGAACTTGCTCTATAGACCAGGCTGGCCTCAAACTCACAGAGATCCACCTGCCTCTGCCTCCTGAGTGTTGGGATTAAAAGTGGGGATCACACCCGGCATTGGTGGCACATACCTTTAGTCCCAGCACTCGGGAGGCAGAGGCAGGCAGATCTCTGTGAGTTCGAGACCAGCCTGGTCTACAAGAGCTAGTTCCAGGACAGCCTCCAAAGCCACAGAGAAACCCTGTCTCGAAAAACCAAAAAGAAAAAAAAAAAAAAGTGGGCATCACTACCACCCAGCTGACACATGCTTTATATAGTCATGGGGAGGGAAGGGGAAGAAGTCAGTAAATACTGGTGACAAGGGACATCTTTTTAAAAGACAGAATGAAGAACTCAAAGAGAAAATGACCTACGAGATGGACCTATAGGAAGAAAGCATTCTATAAATGGAACTTTTCAAAGGTCCTGTGACAGAAGTGGAGCTAGCACTTAGGGGAACAGTAAGGAAGGGTGTGAGATTTTCAAGGTGCACTACTTTGGCGCATCCCTTAGCTGAGTGTTGGACCTTTAGTGTGGTCACTGCTTTAACCTTAAGCCCTCAGCCCAAGTATCACACCTTGTGAAAATTGCTGTTCCTGGGCCAAGACTTCAGTTCGATCTTCTAAAATCTGTACCAAGGCAGCTTGAAGTTTAGGTGGCAGGATTTCACCCTCATCGGATACCTTGAGAGAAGCACATGGCATGATCTTTCTGAGAGTCCAAATGTGCACTAGCTAACAGCCCCCATCCCACAGGTGGCTTTGTGGATGCTCTGCCTGGAGAGTCCTTTGAAATTCTGCCACCTACACAGTCAGAGTACATGATGTTTACAGTGTGTTTTAACTTTACTTTGAAAAACCAAGTAACACCTTATAAAATTCTCTGGCACTGTTTTACAAAATCTACAAGTTTCACTCTTTGTCTCCAAAGCCATCCCCCAATAAATGGTAGTTCAAATGGAAGGAGACAACTGATTTAGAAGAGATCTGGTTTCCATGCTCATTTTATACCCAGAGAGCTTCTCTGAGACCCATTGCTGTCTCCCCTCCCCATTGAGCATCCATCAGAAGGACAACTTCTTTCTGCCCCAGGATGCCTTCTTGGGATTGCTAGTAAACCATCTCTAAAGCATTAAAGAAATGCCCACTGCCCTCAGTCACCGAGACCCGTCATTCTCATCTTTAGATTCTAAGTGCATAACCGAGCATCTACAAATAACCAGAGCTAAGTGCTTTTCTCTCCCTTCTGTGGTGCTGACTTGGATGGAGACATTCTATACTGAGCTGCATTCTCAGCCCAATAAATTTCATTCACTCAGAGGCCTGTATGTCCACCTTTCTGGAGTTGAAGGTGTGGTTACTTCTTTTGAGGATAACATTTATGCTATTTCCTCCTTCCTCCTTTGGGATGGACACCTTTCAACTCAAGCCAAAATTTTCAGGCCAGTCTTGTATGGTTTGCTCCAGTGTCAACTCAGAGATGGGTATGGACTAGACATGCTTTCTGAGTCACCCTCTCTAACACTTTCACATATTTTCTGTCTAATTGCCTCCAGAGACACCGATATCCCCAAACATTATGTAAGCATCTCCTTTGTCACTCACCTCCTGTAGGAACTTGTCCGCACAGAGATCAACAATCAGCACCTGAGGAATAAAGGAGACAGGCAGGTTCAACCAGAGACATCCACAGACACATCAGGCACTGCTGGATCCAGATGGGCACTTAGATTCTTTCAGGCCATGGGAATAGTTGCAAAGAAAATTGCAGCCAATTTAAAAGTTAATCCATCAAAACAACAAATGAATTGGAAAAAGAAAAAGATGTGCACAATTACATATTACAGAGATTTTCCAGGTCGGTGTGGTGGAGCAGAGGGCGAGAACATCCATTTCAATAAGAGGTGGGTAGCTACAAAGAAGTAAAATCCCTAAATGATCTCTATACCACACTATCAGCAAACAGGCAAATACAGGGAGACAACAGGGGAGGATGTCTTCCTCTTCATTAATTTAATGTGAAAAATGTAAGCAGCTCATGAAAACATCATTCATAAATGAAAAGATTGTCATCTTAACCACATTAAAATGAACAACTCTCCTGTATTAAAAAGTGTCATTTTAGGCTGGATATGTGGATTCAAGATAAAATACCAACAGTCTGGAGGCTATGACAGGATAGTTACCAAGTCTCAGCCAAGCCTGAAGATAGAGTGAGGCCCTGTATCAAAAACAAATGACCCTCACCCCCAAATCCAACAAAACACACACACTCCAGAAAACAAGTTCAGAACATGATTCTGGAAAAAGAAAGGCCATGCAAGCCTCAGGGTTGGAGATGTAGCCTAGTTGGCAGAGTGCTTGCCTTGAATGAACAAAGCCCACAGTTTGGTCCTTTGCACCAAACATATCAGGTGTGCTGCCATACACCTGTATCCAGAACTAGGGGGATGGAGGTGGACAATGAGAAGTTCAAACTCATACATAGCTACAAAGTGAGTTTGGGGCCAGCCCAGGCTTCCTGAGGCCCCATCCCTCAAAAAAAGACCTCCAATGAAAGAACTAATAAAAAAAGCTTTTGGTTTGGGCTATAGTTCAGGGTTAGAGCACTCATTTAGGCAGCACCATAGAAACAAAAACAAATAACCAAAACGGGACATCTTATAAATCGTGGAAGATAAATAATCCAGGGTAAAGATAGGATATGATATTCAATGGCCAATAAACACACTAATCAAGAAACACAAATTCAACTACAATGAGCATACACACAGCTCCATAGTCACCAGCCAGGGCAGCTAAACCACACAAGCTGACAATGGAGCTAGTGACATGTGGAGCAACAGTTCTCCTCCTGTACTGTTGGGAGCAGTTTAAATTAGCATTATTTTGAAAAAGTTCAATTTAACTTACTAAAGTTGAAGATGTTCTTATCCTATTGCTCAGAATTCTATTCTGAAGCATATACCCACAGGACTCAAGATTGTAGGGATCGAATATGATGGATAAAAATTTTTACAGCAGGAGACAGCTCAAACATTTACCAACTGCAGAATGGGTAAGAAACTTGTGGCACACCCATACAATGGCATATCCTAGGCGATAAGAATCATCTACTATTGGTAATCCTGCACGGATGAATCTTATTACACTTGCTAACAAAGACAAGTCTTGTATGTGTGTCTCTGTGTGTATGTGTGTGTGTGTGTGTGTGTGTGTGTGTGTGTGTGTGTGTGTTGCACAAAGCTGTGGCATGCTGACTACACAGGACAACATGTAGAAGTCAGTTTTCTTTTTTACCTTTGGTTGGATCTCAGGATGCAGGTTTGGGTGCAAACACATTTACCTGCTGAGCCACCATAGATACTTGGAGAGAAAATTACTATAAAGAAATACAAACAGATGGCTACTATACGTGTTAAGATAGTAGTGACCTTTTCTGAGTAGTGGGGAAGGGTTGGCACATGTGCTATATTTAGAACAACTTTTTCTAATCAACCCTGAGAAAATCTGTGTTGATTTAAAAAAGAAAACATGGGTCAGCAAGATCAAGCTGGATGACCTGCACTCCATCCCTGTTGCCCACAGAAAAATGAAGGAGAGAAGCTGGAGAGATGGCTCAGAGTTGCACCAGGTCAATTACCAGCACACACATGACAGCTCACATCTCCAGTTCCAAGGGATCTGACACCGTCACAGAGACATACATGCAGGCAAAACACCAATGCACATAAAAAAATTTTAAAAATTAGAATCATTTAAAAATCTATTTTAAAGTGAAGGAGAAAACTGACCCACAAAATTGTCCTCTGACCTCACACACACCACACACTTTTTTTTTTTTTTTTTTTAAAGAAAACCAAGCCATACCTTGGTGGCATACACCTTTAATCCCAGCACTTAGGAGACAGAGGTGGGCGGATCACTGAGTTCCAGGCCAGGCTGGTCTACAGAGTGAGTTTCAGGACAGACAGAGCTACAGAGAAACCCTGTCTCAAAAAAGAAAACCTTCTTTTTATACATAAACACTGCTCATTACTGTAAAAAGCATTAGATGCAAATGTACCATGGAATTCTTTTCATTTTAAGAAAGTTCTAAAATATGACAGTATAATAAATGATCAATTATTATATTCTAAAAATGTTTTAGACTTATTTATTTTATTTCATGTGTATGAGTGTTTTGTTCACATGTCTGTCTGTTATCATTTGCGTCCTTGAACTGGAGTTATGGGTATTTGTAAATCTCCAAGAGGGTACTGGGAATTGAAACTGGGTCCTCTGCAAGAACAAGAGGTCTTAACTGCTGAGCCATTTCTGAAGCCCAAATGATAAAATTATTATATTAATAACAATTTTACCCCTCTTAAAAGATCGTTTGGTTCCCTTTGCCAATGCTCTAGTATTTCCGGAGGGTACAATTTATTCCACCTTACCTCTTCAATGGGAAGGTCCTGGAGTTGGGGTAAAGAACAAGACAAGATTCCAATAAGGAATGGAGTAGGCGAGCACACTATGTCAATCATGGACGCTGGCAACACTGGGATGTAGGTGTGCTGCCAGGTGAACGGATACAGTGTAGCTACCACAGCATGGCCACATTTTGACAGGGTGCTAGACAGAGGAGAAAGCACCTGTTACATATAGAGCAGCACAGGGAACATGTTTCAAATATTATGCTAAAGAATTACTCAGTGACCTCACTGGTCTTCACAGACAAACCGCCCTGTGAATATGTATCAATTGCTAGCAGATTCATCTCAGTCTGACTGACCACAATTTATCATGCTAAAAATAAAAACTCAAAAAACAATGTTCACCAGGTACTGGTAGCACACACCTTTAATCCCAGCACTTGGGAGGCTGAGGCAGGGGGAATCTCTGTGAGCTTGAGGCCCGCCTGGTCTACAAAGAGAGTTCTAGGACAGCCACAGCAACACCGTTGCCAGTTTCAGGGCAACACAGAGAAACCCTGTCTTGAAAAACCAAAAACCAAAACACCCAAGACCAAAACCAAAAAACAAAAACAAAAACAACAACAACAAAAAAAATGTTCACATAAAAAAAGCAATGCTGATTTTTTTGTTTGTTTTGAGTCAGGGTCTCTGTAGCCTTGGCTGGCCTTGAACTCACAGAGATCTGCCTGCCTCTGCCTCCTGAGTATTGGGATTAAAGTTGTACACCACTACAACTAGCCATCTTTGCAATTTTACACACAAGTCTTTACAATTTCTGTCATCTTTGGGTGTGTTAGGAACTAAACCTGGGTCCTTTGCAAGAGCAACAAGTGCTCTAATCACTGAGCCAGCTTTCCAGCTCCAGTTCTAGAGATTTTAAATATAGTCCCATTGTAAAAAAGTAAACATAGGCCAAACACCGGCATGAAGTAATTAATAGTCCACTTATTTCTTACCTTAGGCTATTGGCAACAAAGATTACCCTCCGCTCTAATAGGAGTGAGGCACAGACCCGGATAAGATGACACACACTCAAGCACTTGAAAAGACATTCAAAATCCACATGTTCCAGTCGTGAATCCAGTGGTCGGCAGAGTTCAACAGCCTGAAATACAAGAGCTAATCAGAAGATCGGATGTGGGACAGCACCCAATAGCAGCATTTATAGAACTTCTTGCTCTTTTCTCTAGTCTGAAAAAGGTCTGCCACTTGGGTCAGGTGTGGTGGCACACATTTTTTATCCTAGTATTCAGGAGACAGAAGCAGGTGGATCTCTATGAGTTCAAGGCCAGCCTGGTCTACACAGAGAGTTCCAGGACACCCAGAGCAACATAGTGTTACCCTGTCTGGGGAAAAAAACAGTCTGCTACAAAGAGTTTATAAAGCTGCTGTAAATAAAGTTCAGGTAATACATACATACATACATACATACATACATACATATATATATATTATGTACACACACACACACATATATATACACACACACACACACACACACACACACATATATATATATATATACACACACACATATACATACATACACATGTGTGTCCTCTATCATATTGAGACTGTCACTATAGAGGGACCCAATCTATGTCAGGTAGGAAACCTGGGGCTAAGAATTAACTACCTCACATATTCATTCAATGTTTCTTTGGAATTTCAAGGAAATAAAGCATATTACCTTGAAAAGGTAAAACTATTCCTCCCTACATATGGGATTCTGGAAATTTTGTGGCTTGCTGCAGGGTATTTGTACACTGTGTGAAGATATAATTGCTGTGATTGGTTTAATAAAGAACTAAATGGCCAATAGATAGACAGGAGGTATAGGCAAGACTTCTGGACAGAGAGAGAGGAAGTAGGAGATGAACCTAAGTGTGCAAAGGAGCCAGGAGGCATGGAGATGAAACAGAGGTGCAAGGTGGAAGAGAGGTAACCCACTTGATAGAATGAGTTCATTTAAGTTGTAAGAGCTAGTGAGGAACAAGCCTAAGCTATAGCTGAGCTTTCATAATTAATGGTAAGTCTCTGTGTCATTATTTATGAGTAGGCAACCCCCCAAAATTCTGTGCACAGTGCCTGTAGTAATTAATACAAGGCTTGCTTTTAGGTGGCTACTAAACCTCAGTGAGATGAATTAACTTACCCCATCTCCAGCCCCAGGAAGGTAGCTTTTAACTGTGATGGTACGCCCGGGAGCTGGGAAAGGGGCTTCCATGACACTTCTCATGAACGGGTAAACAAGGGCTGGAGACATTTCTCTTCTCTTCTCTACTTCGTCCAGAATCTGCATGGGAACAAAACACCAACAAACAAACAAACCCCACAGTAATTTACTAAGGCCTCAGTTCAGAAACTGATAAAAGCTCAAAGTACACATCCCGAGGCTATCTTTATACTCCAAAAATTATCTGAGTTAACTTATGTTTAGAATCTACTTAAAAAAAAAACCCAAAACCAATTTTTACTGTCTGTCTCCGCCCCCCCCCCCCCCCCCCGTGTGTGTGTGTGTGTGTGTGTGTGTGTGTGTGTGTGTGTGTGTGTGTAGGTTCAGGCATGCCATGGCTCAAGTGGAAGTCAGAAAATTGTGGGATCTGTTTCATTTCACAAAAGGGCAATATACACATTGTATACACATACACACACAAATCACAAACTGACAGCAATATCCTGCAAGTTGGGTCTAGAAAAAAAGCAAGAGGCAAGATATGCTTCAGTATATTTTCTTTTAAAACTGTCAGTTTTGGGGGCTGGAGAGTTGACCCAGTGGTTAAGAGCACTTGTTACTAGTGTAGACCTAGGTTCAATTCCCAGCACCTACATAGCAGCTCACAACTAGTTATAACTCTTCTTCCTGGGGATTTGATGCCTTTTCTGATCCCTATGGGCACCATACATACATGTTGTATACAGACACATATGCATGCAAAACACCACACACAAAAAAATAAAGATGAATAAATCTTTAAAAGGAAAAACCCAAACCTGGGAGTTTTAGCAAACCATAATAGAACAGCATTGGCAACCTGATCAGGATCTAAGTTTAAGCCTTCATATCTATGGGTTGTTTTTCATTTTAAATTCATCAGGGGGATGACTGCATTCGAGACACCTTGAACCAGACCCATGACTCATTGCAATGAACATTTTGTAGGTGGGGCTGATTGCACAAAGGGTATACTGTATGACATCACGGCTGCCAATGCCTCAGGATGGGTGAAAATGTGCTGGTAAGGCAGAGGAGTGAGGATGGGGTTTTTGTTGTTGTTTGTTTCATTTTTAATTAATTTGGAGGGTTCTTTTGGGGGAGACACTGCAGGGGATACGGAAGGATTAAGAGATAAGCAGGATTGGGGTATATGTGAAATTCTCTAAGAATCAATAAAGGACTGTGTTAAAAAAACAAGCAAACAAACAAACAACAAAAAACGTTGGGGAGGGTCATAACAATTGTCACAGCACAGATATGCAGGCCAGAGGACAACTTGTGGGGCTCATTTCTCTCCTTCCTCCATGTGGGATCCCAGGGTCAAATTCAGGTCATCAGCCTTTACCTGCTGAGCACTCCTGAAAGTCCCAGTCTGAGGCTCTTACCCTAATTATGGGAGCGTTCCTCAAGAAGGATGTTAAAGTTTATGCCACTCAATATTCTACAGTGAAATTGCCACCAAGAAAAATTGCCTCAGACTTAGAAACTCTTGCCCAACATCCACGCTTCACTCACCTTTGAGAAGAGATTGAAGCAGCCTAAGCGGCTGACCATGCAGTATACCTCAGGGAACCGCTTTCCTTTGCCTTCTGGCTGGAAAAACAAACGAAGCAGAGCAAGGGTTTACTAATCTTAACTATTAATATTTAATAGACTCCTCTATGTGGCTGATGCTTGCCCCAGACTTCAGGCTCAAGTAATGCTCTTCAGACACCAGAGCTGGTGGACTACAGGTGTGCTCAGGCTTCTTTAGTTCAGTCAGCAGGAATGAGGCTTTCCTCCTCAGAGAGCACATAAAGGCAGGGGAGGTTCCCAGGAGGAAAGCATGGTTTACTCAGGCTTATTGCCTAAATAGGAAGTGACACCCAAAACAGGTGGTGAGGAACTCAGCTCCCTCCACTGGCTCTCTGGACTGCATCCGTCCAATGTGCCACACTGACACTCAATCTCTATGTCACAAGTCCCTTTCTCTATTGCAAAGAAACAACCGAGTGAAACCCACAGTCTTTCTATTCTGACTTTCACCCCGATCTTGCTATGTAAACTAACAGAGCTTCTTTTTAAAAGCTTTATTTTTGTTTTATGTATATAGGTTTTTGCCTGCATGTATGTCTGTGCACCATGTGTGTGCAGTGCCTGTGAAGTGCCAAAAGAAGGCATCAGATCCCCTGGGACTGGAGTTACAGTCAGCTGTGAGCCACATTCCCCATGGGTGCTGGGAGTCGAACCTGGGTCCTCTGGAAGACCAACCATTGTTATTAACCACTGAGCCATGCCCAGCCCTAAAGCAGGTTCTTGGATGTTCACATAATTAAGTAGGCCTTGAAGTCATGTAGAGACAGTGCTTCTCAAGTCCCTTGTGGCCCTCCTTGTTCCTTGATTGACTCTGGCATCAATCTGGTACTCACCAAAAGCTTCTTACAGTAACCAAACCACCGACTTCCATCTTCACCAGTCAACACGAAGGAGAATGTTTCACTGAAAACAAAAGAAAAGAAAAAACAGCTGGGTGAGACATTATTCATAGAACAAGCAAAAGGAGACACTCTATGATCTAAGAGGAAGTAGAAACAGCCATTTATTTCAAGTCATATTCTCATAGAGTACCCTTGTCCTGGGGTAAGTGAGTGGGTATGGGAAAAGCTGTTGGTATTGCTGCCCCCTTTTGTTGAGCATCTAATTTAGCCAAACATATAGGTAATCAAGCTATCAAGGATTTTATATCATTTCTCCCTTGCAAATTCTCCTGTTTGCTTCTGAGAGGCCATATGGGACAGTGATAGAAGAAAGACTACATCCTGGGCTGGGAGATGGCTGATGGGAGAAAGTGCTTGCTGCATAAGCATGAACTGGATACAGACCCACACGTCTACACAAAGCTAGATGCAATAGCATGTGTCTGCAATCTTAGCATTTCTACAGTGAGATGGGAGGCAGAGACAGGAGAACCCCACAAGTTCTAAGACCAGCTAGCTTGACACAAACTGGAAAATAAGAGGCCCTGTCTCAAACAAGGCAGAGGCAAGGACTGAGCCACGTTGTCCTTTAACTTCCTCATGTGAACATGCATGACAATTCTGTTTCATACATACACAAAGATAGGAAAAGGGTTATACCCTTTTTGTTGTTGTTTGAGACAGGGCTTGTCTGTGTAGCCCCAGCTATCCTGTAGACCAAACTCACCATCACTACCCAGCCAGATTATATACTTAATATATATAAATCAACAGGAGAAATATTAACTCCTCATTATAAACATGGGCCAAAAATAAATATCACAGCTGGGTGTGGTGGTGCATACCTTTGATCACAGCACTTGGGAGGCAGAGACAGGTGGATCTCTGTGAGTTCAAAGTCCAGCCTGGTATACAAAGTGAGTTCCAGGACAGCCAAGGCTACACAGAGAAACCCTGTCTCAAAAAACCAAAAAACAATCAAACAGACAAAAAACCCACACCAAAGCAAAACAACAACAACAACAAAAATCAACTTATAAAATTCCTCCAAAAGAAACTCACTTAAAACTAAAACCCCTCAAATTTGAATAATGAATCAATATTTAAATGTATTTTTATTTTCTGTGTGTATGAGTGTTCGGCCTACATACATGTCTGTGCACCACTGTGTACAGTGTCCACAGAGACCAAAACAGCCTTGGATCCTCTGAGACTGGAATGTTAGTTGGTTGTGAGCTGCTGTAGGGGTGCTGGAGTCAAACCTAGGTCCTGTGCAAGAGCAGCAAGTGCTCTTTTTCCTCTAGGCCATCTATGCAGCACTGAGGAATCTGTATTCAAATGTGATCAAAAAACTAATGGGAAGGAGTGTTTACAGTGCTGACTCCTGAGCAATCAGACCACCTTTGCTTTTTATTTCTTCAGCATTTCCTAAATACTCTAGAGCACACACTCTGCAGGAGGAAGCAGCCAACCATGGAGCAGGCCAACAGGAGGGACTCATGCACAGCTAGCAGTGCAAGTGACAACACAAAGCATCAACACTGACAGCTGAGGATGGAGAGCTGTAAGCAGGCTCAACTGGTTATGTGAGGCTGCAGCTAAGGCTAGAGGTGAGGCGGGACTGTTAGAGCAATAGCTGAGACTATCATCTAATAGGTCATCAACACATGACATGGTTCAGTTACACAAGCTTCTTCACCTAAAAGGCATAGTTAACAATTACAATGCAGTATCCCTTGCTTATTTATATTTTTTATGTGTATCATGTTTTGTCGGATTCAGTGTCTGTGCACCACATCTGTGCAGTGCCCATGGAGGCCAGACCAGAAGAGAGCATCAGATCCTCTGGGCCTAGAGTTACAGCTGGTTGCAAACTGCTGTGTGGGTGCTGAGAATTCAAACTTTGTCCTCTGGAAGACCAGTCAGTGGTCTTAACCACTGAGCCATCTCTTCTACCCCTTACATGTTTGTTTTTTACACAGTCTCACTGTTTCCCAGCCTGGCTTTCAACTCTTGGGCTCAAGTAACACCCTTGTCTTAGGACCCCTGAGTAACTAAGAGCACAGATTTGTTTTAATATACCCGGATTATGGTGTGAATAAAGAAGACACCTATTTACAAAAGCAGGATTTGAGGCAGGTGTGGTGATGCACACCTCTAATGCTAGCATTCGGGAGGCATAGGCTAGTGGATCTCTGGGAGTTTGAAGCCACCCTGGTCTACGTATCAAGTTCTGGGCCAGACAGGGCGACATTTTCAGTCTCAAAAAACAAACAAACAAACAAACAAACAAACAGAACAAAAGTAGGATTTGGAAGTGATAATTTTTCTAGAAACTAAAACTGGTATTTTCCTCTAGATACCTTAAATAAATTCCTTTTTAAAGATTTATTTTTATTATTTTTAATACACACACGTGAATATGGATGCCCTTGGAGAATTGGGATTCAGGCAACTGTGGGACACTGGACTGAGAACCAAACTCAGGTCCTCTGCAAGAGTAGTACTTGGTCTTAGCTACTGAGCCATCCCTCTAGGCCCACACAATCCTCTGTACAAGGACCACAAGGGAACACTGAATCCAGACTGTGGCTTCTTCTATCGACTTGAAGGAGAAATAAGATGATGGAAATTGTTCTGTTTTGCTGTTTCTAGGTTTAACCCCCAAGGTACAAGTGTAGTGTCCTCCCTCCCCTCCACCCACCAACTTCAGGCCATTTTTACTGCAGGTGATGTGGACGCATTTTGCTCTGCAGAACTGATGAACTAAGGAGATGCACAAACTTGTGTGCCTCTTTCCTGAGCCCTCATAGGAAACACAAATTCTGCCCTAGCTCAGTCTACCGCAGCTCAATCTGTTCATGGTCATTCATGCAGCTTTACTCCTGACTCTACCCAACTACGATTCTATGGATAGCTTCAGCAAACTGAAATCAGAAGGAGCCGACTTACCTCTTGAATTCCGAAGTTGGCACCCAGTCCTTTGAATCAGGAAAACAAAATCTGGGGATGACTTTGAGCCTCTCTTCAGTATCTTTGGATTGCTTATAGCCATTGTCACCCTAAAAAAGATAACACCACAAAACATCAACCTAGGAGAACAGGGAACAGAAATTAAAAAAACAAAACCTCAGTCTGGTCTCAGGGAAGCCTAATGGGTCCTGTGAGGTTTCCCTCAATGTGGCTTCCTTCTGAACAGTACAGAAGGAGAAGACTAAAAATCACTACTGTGCATTGAGGACCAGTGCTGAGAACAAAGAATCCCATTTGACATGACACAGAATCGAACTGGTGAAGCCTTGTAATCCATAGTAAGAGAGGCAATGCTGAAGAACTTTCTATCCAGAGGAGGGTCTAGACTCAGGATTGTCAAACTGTTGGGAGTCCAGTGTTTTATGAATCATTGAATTTAAGAATAAATAAAAATCCCTTCTATTATATAGCTCAAAGCATTCTCTGGTTAATAATCAAGGATGCTTTAAAAAGGCAGATGAATGTTATTTAGAAAAGATACTATTTTTAAATGTTACCCTGTATATAATCATTCCCTTAGCTTTGCTACCTAATTATAGGCTTGCAACTTCCTGTAAAATCTTAGCATGAAAAACTTACAAAAGTGTAGTGTAAGTCAGTCATGGTGTCATCTGCCTATAACCCCAGTTCTTAGGAGGTGGGAGCAGGAGAATTAGGAAATCAAGGACAACCTTGGCTACATAGAGAACTCAAGGTTAGCCTGGGCTATATAAGACCCTGCTTCAAAATAGTAACAAAGTGGTATCGTATTTCAAAATGTAGTCTAAATTTAGTTCAAAGAAGACACGAACTTCAGAAATGAGCAGGTCTATCTATGAAACAGCACAGAAGTCTCATTAGCATATTGTTCTTTAGAGAACTAACCAAAGCTCTCTGTGCATTTCCTTCTTTAAAAACTATGCACTAGGGTTGGAGAGATGGCTCAGCTATTAAAGTCTCACAACTAAAAACATAAATATGCACCTAAATCGGGCAATGGTGACCCACACCTTTAATCCCAGCACCCGGGAAGCAGAGGCAGGTAGATCTCTGTGAGTTCGTGGCCAGCCTGGTCTACAGAGCAAGTGCCAGGATAGGCTCCAAAACTACACAAAGAAACCCTGTCTCAAAAAAAAAAAAAAAAAAAAAAAAAAACAAAACAAAAAAAAAAAAAAAAAAAAAAAAAGAAAAAAAAAAAAAAAAAAAAAAAAAAAGAAAGAAAGAAAGAAAGAAAAACAAAACAACAACAAAATGTACCTATTCTATGTCATTGGGATGGTCCACTCTGAAAACAACAGGACAGCATCAGGACTGAGAGTTGAGCTCCCAGAGTACCTGCCTAGCATGCAGGTGGCCTTGATCTCAGCACTGGATGTGAAAAAAAGAACCTAACACATTTTATTAGTTGTAACATGGTGTATTCACAATCATCTTCAGCCAAGGAGTTCCACAACAATCCAGACAGGGCCCCACAGGGCTCACTTCATCCCCTAATTGATGGGCATCGGAGGCACAAAAATAGCAAGCAATTTACTTAGAGGCATTCTTTTTTATTTATTTATTTTACTTTTAATTATGGGTATGCCTGTGTGTCCCTGTATAGGTATGTGCATATGACTGCAGTTGTCTGCAGAGGCCAGAAGAGAGCACTGGACTCTTGGGTACTGGAATGACAGGAGGTTGTGTGCCATCTGACATGGGAGCTGGGAACTGAACTCTGGTTTTCTGCAAGAGCTTGCTTTTAACCACTGAGTCACATTTCCAGCCCCATTGGAGGCATTCTTGATTCATCTGTTGAGTCCTTTTCTGGTACTCTACCTATTAATTCAAGCTTAGCTTTGCTATAAAATTAATTAAAACACTCTCTCTGCGGCCCCCCCCCCCCCCCCCGTGTGTGTGTGTGTGTGTGTGTGTGTGTGTGTTCCTAATACTTGGGAGACTGAGGCAGAGGCACGAGGTCAGACCCAGCCCACTGCACATTTGAGTTGAAGGCTAACCTAGACTACAGTGTAAGAATTTAAAAGAAAAAAAAATCAAAAAGTTCCTCTAGATATATTACTCAAGGATATTTATTCAGACTATGATAGTATTTCACCAGGAATTGTGGAGACATAGCACTGCTAGGTGACACTGAAGAATTTTATGAGAAATTTTATTTCTATAGTTACTCACTGTTGGATGTTGCTAAGGTTGTCCCCTTTCCTTCCCCTGGTTCTTCTAAGAAACAGTCTTACTACATAGCCTAGGTTGGCCTCAGACTCCTGATGCTTCTGCCTCTACCTCCTAAGAGCTGGAATTACAGGCATGTTACCACACCTGGCTGTGTTGAGGCCATTTTAAAAATGGGAACATATGCAGGAAACATCTCTTAGATTCCAGGACAAGCTGGGTGCATACCTTTAATCCCAGCACTTGGGAGGCAGAGGCAGGTGGATCTCTGTGAGTTCGAGACCAGCCTGGTCTACAAGAGCTAGTTCCAGGACAGCCTCCAAAGCCACAGAGAAACCCGGTTTCAAAAAATCAAAACAAAACAAAACAAAACAAAAAACAAAACAAAAAAACAAACAAAAGCAGGTAAACAAACAAAACTAAACAGACTAAAATGTAAAACTTTCTCCTTTCATATGTAGTCTATAAACCTGCAATGGCTTTATTTGCTATTTAATGTCACACTGCCCAGAGTTCACAGGGGTCAAGTGCAGACCCACAGACAGTAAATGCTGTAACAGCTGACTGAATGAAGGGGCGCCTTTGTGAGACAGGCAGAGCAAACCCAAGAACAGTGTAAGTAACAGCTAGGCTGGACCTAGTGGCTCCCAGCACTTAGGAAGCTGAAGCAGGAGGATTACCCAAGGAAAACTTGGGTAAGATCCTGTGTCAGCGTTGGTAAAAACTGTCAGAGACAACACTAACAAGAGGAACCTTCCAGGGCTTGCTGGCCACCTTGTACCTACCTTGCTAGGGAACTGCTGTATGACCTGGGGAACGTAGTTTGTCCCCGATGGCTTCTTCTGCAGAGAAACCACCACGAAGAGTTCAAAGAGCTGCTGTTCCTGCAGTTCGATAAGATCCCGCTCCAAGGTCTGGTAGTGGGGGTTCCTCTTGGAGGGCTGCAGCAGCTGTGCTAAGCGCTTGTGGCGATCTGCAAGGAGGTCACAGGTCAGGTTCCCTGTGCCCTGCCCTCTAACCCACAAGTCACAGCACTCACGAGGAGAATCTTCTGTGGTCATTTGTTGGATGAACGCAGATAAGTACACAAATATTCATGTTTGGGTTATGACATGTGAAAAGACAGTGAACAGGGGGCAAGCAGCAAGACTGACATCCTAAGTTGACGTACTGTATGTCTATAACACACACTCCATGTATGTGTTACAGACAGCCTACATGGCATTGCACCAGGACGCACACAAGATGTCCAGGAAAAAATACTAGACTGACAATAGATGCCATTTCTTGTGATGCTGTGAAAGTATGGAAGAGGAGAGGATTTAACAGAAAACTGAGTCCTACACAGAGACTAAACACAGGCAGGCAAATCAAAACCCAAGCCAACCTCATATTAAAGAACCATTCTTTTACCTTCTCATCAGCATGGATTTCTAAAAGACGGCTCAGTGGTTAACATCGAGTACTGTTCTTCCAGAGGACCCAAGTTTGGTTCCCACCACCATATCAGGTGGCTCAAAACTGCCTGTAACGGCAGCTCCAGGGGCATCTGACACCTCTGGTCTCTGCAAGCACCTGAACTCACATGCTCATACTCCCACACTGATAACACATAATTAAAAATAATAAAATAAATCTAAAATTTGAAAACTAATCATGTAGACCTCGGGAACAAAAGATATAACAATAAAGCCAGGAAGCTACAACCACCTGATTCTTTTTTTTTTTTGGGGGGGGGGAGTTTCTAGACAGGGATTTGCTCTGGCTTTGGAGGTTGCCCTGGAACTTACTCTGTAGAACAGATTGGCCTCGAACTCACAGATATCCGCCGGCCTCTGCCTCCCAAGTGCTGGGATTAAAGGTGTGCGACACCAACGCCCAGTTTAACCACCTGATTCTTGACAAAGGCACTAAAATACACATGGGGAGGCAGTAACCTCTTTAATAAATGATGCTGGGAAAGGTTGAAACTAGACCCCTATCACTCTATGAAAACTATTCAAATGGATCAAAGATCTTAATGCAAGACAGAATCTGAACCTGCTAGACAAAGTCACAGGGAAAACACCTCAAAACACAGACAATGTGTGTTGAATAGGACACGGATGACTAAGGAAGCAAGAGCAAGAATGGATAAAGGGGACTGCAAGAATTTAAAAAGTGTCTGAGCAGCAAAAGAAGAAGAAGAAAAAAAGACAACCAGTGAGCAGAAAAGCTCTGCCAAATATTCATCTGATGATTAACAGCTAGGACATAAAAAAACCAACAAAGCAGATAACAGTTCAGCTGTTAAACAGGCAACAGACCAAACACAAACTTTTCAAACCAAGAGACACGTAGGGCCAAAAAGTTTGTGAAAGAATGCTCATCCTTTTTGGCCATCAGAAAAATGAAATCACAACCATATTGAGACTGTCATCTCCTCCCCCAGACATGATGACTTTTGCCATGAAATAAGTTACACTGTGGATCAAAATGTTAAGAATTCTTTAAAAACTACAACCAGGGATGGTTCCCTAGAAACACCCAGTTTCCTGGACATTCTGGGAAAAGGTGAGCTGACCCTCCAAAGGGCTGAGTTCAAGTCAAGACACATTGGGTCTTGCTTCTCATTAGCAACTGCAATAAATTACTCATCCTTACACATCAGTGCTGAACCCCATGACGCTCTAAGTTTCATCTTTAGTCAGACTACAAAATCCAAAACCTGGAGCAATTTAGGCCAGCAGAGGAGCACAAGGCTATTACTCATGAGATTAGTGTTAGGGCAGCCCTCCACTCGGCTTTGATAACCTGTGACTCCTGTTCTTCGTGTTGCTGTTATGTCAGCCAGTTAAACAAGAACTAAAACAAAACCTGTTGTGACAATTTATTAAGTGCCTGTACACGTAAGAGTCAGAAGTACATGGATCCCAAACCCCGATATGAACCACATAATAATTTGGACTAAAAGTACCTACATGTAAATATCTATCTCCTTTCTTAATGGCAGAGATAGAAAACACACTTAAGAGTTACCCTTGGGTTACTAGAGAAAAATCAGCTATTTTGGGCTAAGTACTTATCAATGAGGGTGACTCACACTCTTGGCTGCTATAAACTGCACATGTCTGGACATGCGGTGCTGCCCTGCTCCCTACAGAACTCGAGCTCAGAGCCATCCTGGTTTACCTCACTCCACTAAGAGAGATTTGTCATGTTGTCAAACAGCTGAATATACTATTTAGCTCCGAAAATCTCAACAGTGCCTGAGAATGAAGCAATGGCCTACAGAGTGAACTTCACACGAGGAAAAGCACGCTTAATCACAAAGGCAGGTGGTCCTCCACCCGAAGCCAGGGTGATGGAGGGGAGCAGCCCGCTGACTCACTCACTCTTTGGCAGGTACTCGCCATCACTCTCGTTCCCACTGGTTTCACCTGGAAAAAAGGAAGAGAGGCAGAGTTTCCGTTTGTATTGTCTACTAGTAGGAAGCACGTGAGGATGAGAACAATGGGAAAGTGCCACAGTCTGGGACCTTGAGTGAGGGATGAGGGTAAAGTTATTAAAGGTCAAATTAGCACAGCTGTTGAAAGAGAGCATAGGACAAAACAGGAGAGCCTCCCTGTCTGGAGAGGATCTGAAACAGACAGGATTGAACCCTACATAGCTTCGGGGATTTTGCTATGTGTAAGTCTGTAAGAGCATTTATAAATTAAACACAGTAAGAGATTAATAACCAGTGTCAAAATACAGCAATTATAACAACACATAAATGAAAGTTATTCAAGTATGGCTCTCTCTCCCAGTACTTCAACACTGTACTTAACCTAGTTCTTGGGAAGACATTTGGGACTGGAGTTTGTGTGCTGGAATGAAGCAAGCGAACGATGAAGGCACTATGATGCACCAAGCTACTATATATATGTAGCATGAGCTACAGCTACAGAGTGAGACCCTGTCTCAAAAAACTAAAATAAAACGGTTTTATAGCTATTGCCAAATTATCTTGAAGACAATTGGTAATAGCCTGTTTCTGCAAACAACATTTGAATATACTTTCCCATAATCTTCATCAAGTAGATTAATAATTTTCTGCTAATGTTTAAAATGTATTCTCTTATTTATTGTTTTAATTTATTTATTTTCATTATGAACTTGGGAAAGTTTCATATTTATCAATAAATTGTATATCTTTTATGTGAATTGCCTGTTCCTAACCATTTACCATTTTTCTGCCATGTGCTCTTTTTCTTACATGTGTATATGTACCAGGCTTTCTTTTTCTTTGGGCTACCTACCAACCAGCTCCCAAATCATTACATGGAGACTTATTATTAGTTTTGAATGCTCAACCTAGCTTAGGCTCATTTCTGGCTAGCTCTTGTAACATAAATTAACCTGTTTCTCTTAATCTGCTTTTTGTCTCGTGACTTTTTACTTTTCTTTCCTGCTTTATATCTTACTTTCACTGCTTCTTGTGTCTCAGGCTGGCAGCTGCCTGGCTGCCCCCCTCGTTCTCTCCTCTGTCTCTCGTTCTTCCTGAGCCTAGATTTCTCCTCCTTTTCTCTCTGCCTGCCAGCCATGCCTATCCTTTCTCTGCCTAGCTATCGGCAGTTCAGCTCTTTATTAAGTCAATCAGGTGCCTTAGGCAGGCAAGGTGAAACAAATGCAATACATCTTTACATAATTAAACACACATCCTTACACATTGTTAAACAAATACAGCATAAAAAATGTAACACATCTTTGCCTAGATAAATAATATTCCATAACATGTGTACATGTGTATACATATGTGCTTGTTCTCTCTCTCTCTCTCTCTCTCTCTCTCTCTCTCTCTCTCTCTCTCTCTCTCTGTGTGTTGTGTGTGTGTGTGTGTGTGTGTGTGTGTGTGTGTGTGAACATTTGTGTACACAGATGTGGAGGCCAGGTGGTCCAATCTACTTTGTTTGAGACAAGTTTTACACTGGCCTAGATTCAGCTTCCTTTTGCAACGACTGCGACTGGAAGTTAAGAAATGTTCAGGTTGTAGGTGCCTCATGACCCAGGGCTGAAGTGCAGAACAGGCACCACATGTAATTACCCAGGCCCAATAGGTGTTGCTGACAGCACAGACAGATGAAATCTGAGCGCTGTGCTGACAGAGTTAGGAGCTCCTCAGACAGAATCCAAACTCCTCAGGTTCACTGGAGAGGCTGTCTCAGAAGCTAGGGGAATGCTAACTTCCTTCAAGCTACAAAGGAAATCAAGTTTGTCATAGAACTCTAGGGACTGTTCCTTTTTGATACTTACTTTTTGTTTTTGGTGCTAAAAGTTGACAACTTTAGCTGCTGACAACATTTTTTCCCAATGATAAAATTTTTTAAAAAAAAGCAAAATGTGAGTCCTCAGAACCTTGTCCTGAGCAGGTATGGGGTGCCTCTAATCTGGAACATTCTAGAGGCCACACAAGAAGGATTATTTAAGCCTAAGAGTTTGAGGCCAGCTTGATCAACACAGAGAGATACATCTCAAAACACAAAATTTACTAAAATCTCAAATCATAAACATAAAAACATAACCTACTCAGTGTTATATGTAGAAAGTAGTTACCAATTTTAGGCTGTTGTTAATCTGAATGGCAATTATTTTATACTTTTTTATACTTAAATTAAAAACTTTGTTTTGTGTGTGAGTTTGTACACTGTAGCACACATGGAGTGGTCAAGAATAACTTTTTGTGAACTGTTTCTTTCTTTTCACCTTTTGTTTTTGGTTTTTTGAAACAGGGTCTTGGTGTTTGTTACAGCACTGTATTCTCCAGGCTAGCTAGGCAGTCTGGGAGCACTGCCCAATTCTCCTGACTCCTCATCTCCCATCTCCTTGTAAGAGTGCTGGGGTTACAGGCATGCACTACTGTGTCTGCTTCATGAGGACATGGTGGTGCACACCTTTAATCCCAGCCCTTGGGAGGCAGAAATGGCCAGCCTAGTCTCCATTGTGAGTTCCAGGGCAGCCAAGGCTATATAGAGAGTCTGTCTTTAATATACATATTTAGTCAGTTTCTAGCACCCAGCTTTTTATGTGAGCTCAGGCTTGCGTGGCTAGCACTTTTACATGCTAAGGCATTTCCCTGGGCCAGGACAATGGCAATGTTTTGCAAGCACTTGTTCTGAACCCAGCATTTTATATAATTTTCAGATTAAAATTTACTTCCTTATCTACAAATCAATAGTATCTGCTGCACAGGATTTAGAAAATCGATAATAATGCATTAGAAAGACTCTAACAATGCCTGGCGTCAGTTTTCATTTTCTGTATCTCGCTCTGAATTATACTAACAAGAAGCTCTTTGATGATGCCTTTGCTGGGGATAAGGAAACACAGAGGAGACAAATGTCTAAAATTCAATGTGGATGGCTCTTAACTCAAATCCACACTTCCTGGCTAATCTTCTCCAGCTGTGGACAGGATAGCCCCAACCTTTTTGTTGTTGTTGTTGTTGGTTTTGGTTTTTCAAGACAGGGTTTCTCTGAAGAGCTTTGGAGCCTCACTCTGGAGACCAGGCTGGTCTCAAACTCACAGAGATCCACCTGCCTCTGCCTCCCGAGTGCTGGGATTAAAGGCCTGCGCCACCAACACCCGCCCGTCTTAGCCCCTAACCTTAATGTGGCATTACAAATGAGATGAAATCTTTAAACAATTATTTTATTTAATAAATATTAGGTGTTATTGATAATAACAGCCAAAGGCATTTCATTCCCAGAGGAGAATGAAACATGTCTAGATATTTCCCTTTGAAAATAGGATAACATAGGCTAGGGCGCTGGCCCAGTAATTAAAGTGTTTGCCATGCAAGCAAAAGGATGGCAAGTCTGGATCCCCAGAACCGGTGTAAACTAGGAGGTGGTCATGACAGACCACCTGTCACTCTAGCTTCAGAGGGTGGAGACAGACATACAGTTGTGTGTGTGTGTGTGTGTGTGTGTGTGTGTGTGTGTGTGTGTGTGTGTGTGTATCCCTCACTTAGCAAGTGAGACTATCTGCATTGGAGAGCTCTGGGTTTCATTAAGAGGTCCTGCCTCAAAGGAATAAGGTACAAGAATGATAGCACAAACTCATCATCTTGGGCTTCACTGGAACATACACACGTGCACCCGCACACATATACACATGCACATCACACATGAAAAGAAGAAAAAGAAAAGAAACTTGGAAAACTCATTAAACATGGCAACTGGTTCACTGTGGTATTCTTTTAGCAGGACTGGATCAAAACAAGTCTTACTCAGTAAGAACAGTCTTTGGAACCCAGATAATTTCATTTTTACATAATTGTTTCAACATAGAGTCTACTTATAAATGAAATTAAGACATTTCTCTTTGTGAATCTGTAAAAATAAGAAACCCTGTTCTCTGACAGGACTTTCTCACTTAGGAACTTTATATTTCTCTCTTAGACAACTGAGCTAAGCTCTCATGAGGCTGTCTTGTTGTAGTGCTGAAGCTGGACCCAGGGCCACAGAGTGAGGCAGGCAGGTGCCCATCATCTAAACCACATCCCAGCCCTCACAGGGGTTTGTAAGAAATAACATCTCCCCAGAGAGCCTGGGCTGGCCTGGAACTTCAATCTTCCTGCCTCAGCCTCCCTAGTGCCAGGGCAACAAGTGTGCACCAGCCCTTCTCACGTGAGTTATTATGAAAACGCTTATAATTTGTTGTGAATATTCCAACTTTCTTAGTTTTACCTAGCCATCTGCATGATAAGCTACAGAGCTTCAGAGATGTGGTACAAGTTGGGTACCACATGTCTGCTGGCCATGGTGGTGAATGTCTGTACCACAGCACCTGGGAAGCTGAGGCAGGGGAAGTCCAAGTTCCTGACCAGCCTGGGCTAAAGAGCAAGACACTATCTCAAAAAAGGACAACCAAGAGATTAAAGTGAATTACAAAATAATGACTCAGACTTTAAGAAATGTACTCTCATTGGTTTATAATTGTTTTATTTATTTACTCACATAATATTTTTTACTTGGGATTAATAAGAAGGAATTGGAAGGTGGCCCTTGAAGAGCTGAGTGTGAATGTGGCGGCTCATGTCTGTAATCCCACAAGCTAGAAGGCTGAAGCAAAAGGCTCATGACAAGCTCATGACCAGTGTGGGATACATAGTGGGTTCCAGGCCAATTGGAACTAAAGTGAGACTCTGTCTAATCAGACACTAAATTATGTAACAATGTTCCTTCATGTGCTATTGTGGTTTGGTTTGAATGCTTGCTCCTAGCTGCTGGCACTATTCTGTGCAGCTGTGGAAACTTTAGGAGGGAGGGTCTAGCTGATAGAAGTAGGATATAACCCCGGCCCTGGCTTCCTCCTAGCTGTTTCCTAGTCTGCTGCATGCTCCTGCTACTGTGAATTGACATGACGGACACAGCCCCCTGAAACCGTGAGCCAAACAAATCACCCCATCCTGAAGTTGTGCCTACCAGATATGCTGGTCCCAGCAGTAGGAAACTAACATGTATAGTAATGCTACAAACAGATAAGTAAACGTGGCTCTTACCTTTGGAGGAGGGTGCTTCTTTTCCAGTGTAAGGCTGTAACTTTACCCTCTTCTTCCCTCTCTTAGATTCAAACGTATCATTTATTTTCAAAACGAGCTGAAAAAAAAAAGACAAGAAAATTACAAAGATGGTATAATAATAAAATTACAAAGATGGTGGTCAATACCACACCACCAAGGTTCTCTGAAAGACTGGTATTAATAGAGTAAATGTTTTTTTAATGTAAAATTCTCTTTGAGTAATAAAATCCTTCCCGTTTTTCAATTTTGGATTAAAGTGGTATCATTAGATGATGTGTGTTCTCAGAGTGTCTACAAACCAGGGAAGGAAAGTGCTAAGGACCCTGCCCTTTCAAGATGCAAGATGAGTCCAGCATCTTGAGGAGACTCTGTCACCTCATGTCACAACACGCAGGGAATGTGCTACTGAACTCCCCACGGTGATTAAGACTTTGCTCAGGTTTTCACTTGCTCAGAGCAGGAAGGGGAACAGTCACCCACTGCAGGGTGGGGCTTAGTTATTTCTGCTCCCAGGAGTTTCTCCCAAGAGGAGATGATCACGCTTATGGAGCTTTTGTCAAAAGGACCACACTCCTCGCCACTGTGGGTATGAATGCTGCAACTTATCTTAGGATGTCATAAAAATGGGAGACTCTCAAATTACTCCATACAAAACTACGCTTTTCTCCCACTCCACTCATCAATCTATACCTCAAGCAACTGCAATCAGATCATTTACTTTTTAAGTCATTTTAATAGCTGTTTCTATTTATTACTCAGAATTCTTTCCTAATCTTAGGGGAAAGGTGAGAAAGTCAGACAGAGAGAGGTGCACAGAAGAAAGAGTCAGAGCTGTGACATCAACAAACATTTCACAACAAGGAGCTGATCAGCCTTTCCGTGCCTACTTTTCTCTTTTCTTAAGGTTCCAAGCTTAAGTATTCATCTTAACTTATCACACTGCCTAGACAGAACTGTTAAGTGCACTGTATGATCAGAGTCCAGACTGTTGAGGGGAGTTCTCATGTTTTCATGTGTCTTTGTAGACTTAGCAATGCCAAAGGCAACAAGCTGGCAGTCCACTATAAGCGAAAAGCATCAAGAAACTGAAGGGGCCAGCTCCCTGTTTTGGCATTCATAACAGCCTAACATGTGCTTGCCTGACCTTGCCTTGGTCACTAGGAGGTCAGATGCCTGCCTCATGGCAAGGAACCAATCAGAAGTTAGCTGGTGGTGCTATGCTTTATGACCCTGGGTGTGCTTTATTGACAAGTGCACAGCAATGACGTGCAGAGCATAGCAACCACCCTGGGAGGGCCTATGGGCCATAACTACCAGTTGACCAATCAACACAGGGCAAGTCCTCTAAGCCTGGAGGCACACCAATCCTGAGCCTGTGAGTACTCCTAGACACTCCCCTTACGCTGCCCTATAAGATTTCTGTCCCTCGGTTTCTCAGGGACTTTTTCCCTAGCCATCCACCATGGTGGGTGGATGAAAGGCCCCAGCTAATCGGGTTAGCTCATTAAACAACTGCAATAAAGCCTCTTGCAGTTTGCATCGAGCTTTTGCCTCCACCTAGTGATTGGGGTTGCTGCAGTTCTGGGCCGAGATCCTGGGGGCCTGAGCCTCCAGGGGTCTTTCAAAACACATGCAGGTCTTCACATCTCTAGACAAACTTGCTCTCTTTGAGGATTTCTATAGCTGCCACTCAAGTGAAAAATTGCCAGTGTTCTTCAGTGTTGCCTTTTCAAGAAAGCAAGCAGAAAAAAAAAAATCAAAAAACAAAAAACAAGCAGGAGAATCCAAAAGAGAAAGGTATTTCTATGGACTATAGAAAATACTTATGGGATCAAACAAGCACCTAAGATAGCAAAAATGTTACTATGGATTTACAAGTAAAATCAAAAGTATGTCCACAGATTTTGGAGGAAACTACTGTTCTGGGAATATCAAATTAAATGGCAACTTAAAATTCTGGTTATGAGCTAGGATAAGGAGCCTACACCTACTCTTCAGCTTCAGCAATCACTACAGAGTGACAGCAAATGACAGAGAACAATGTTTTACTTGCCAGCCACAAACACTAAAGCACCAGGGAAGGCACTAGCAATCCCACACAGGCTTCCACAGCAGGGAAAGGAAGGAAGGGTGGGGACCAGGCATATGGACTAGATCAGAAAGCAATTTCCCTCCCAGGGACAGCTGGAGTCATCAAAGGGGGCGTGAATGAAAACTGCTTTTATTATGGAATGTCCCTGAAGATACAAACAAACAAACAAACAAACAAAAAAAAAACCCACAAATTTTGTATTGCATTTGGGACATTCTAAAAGGACTTAATATCTTCTTGTAATGTTTATTTTTATTATTTTTGAATGTATGTGTGCAAGCACTTGTGGGTTTGTGCATGTGAGAAGGCCAGCAGTGTTAAATCCTCTGCAAGTAGAATTACACATGGTTGGGAACTGCACCAACCATGTAGGTGCTGGATATGAACTTGGGTGCTCTGAAAGAGCAATATGGCTCCTAACACCTGAGCCTTCTCTCAAACCCCTTAGAGGAGTTCCAGTTCCGGGCAGTGGTGGCGCACACCTTTAATCCCAGCACTGGAGAGGCAAAGGCAGGCGGATCTTGAGGCAGAGTTTGAGGCAGCCTGGTCTACAGATCTCAAGATCCAAGACAGTCATAGTCACACAGAGAAACCCTGTCTCAAAAACAAACCAAAAAAAAAAAAAAAAAAAAAAAAAGAAAGAAAGAAAGAAAGAAAGAAAAGATAAAAGAAAAGAAAGGAAGGAAGGAAGGAAGAAAGAAAGTGAATTAGCTTCTGGTATCAGACTCCACAGCTCTGCAAACAGCACATCCGGAAGGTGACTGCAGGAAGCACTGGAAGAAGGAACCGGCCCTGCAGACTCATCAGCTTTCTCTTTCTTGTTCTTTTGTGATGCAGAAGACTGGATCCAGGGTCCCACAGATGGGACAACTGCTCTAACACTGAGCCACACCCCAGCTCTCCAGTCTCATTTCACCCTACTGTCCGAAATTCCTAAAGAGCTGCTAAAGCCATTTCAAGGGTTAGAAATAAATCTTAAGCAGGAATTCCTTAGAAGTCTGTTCTGGATTCACACGGGAGGCGTGTGGGGGTGCCATCTTCCTGAGGAGAAAGCTCCTGAAGGATGCCTGCCCAAGAGCAAGGGCAGGAAACAGACCAGAAGAATTAAATTAATTCTGGAACACAAGAGTTTCAAGGAGCCAATCAGCCGTCACTAAGCAAGAATCAGCTGTGATTTTTCTTTAATGTTAAAGTGAGGTACAAAATGCATGTGCTAAATGAATATTTGAGCTAATTCACGTGGCATTATGGGAGGAAAAATATTTCAATGACCTGATTTCTTAATTATGAATATTACCTGCTACTGTGTCAATCCTGAAAATATCTTTTTTTTTTTTTTTTGAGACAGGGTTTTTTTGTGGCTTTGGGGACTGTCCTGGAACTAGCTCTTGTAGACCAGACTGGTCTCAAACTCACAGAGATCCGCCTGCTTCTGCCTCCCGAGTGCTGGGATTAAAGGCGTGCGCCACCACCGCCCGGCCCTGAAAATATCTTAATTAAACATACAGTTTAAAAATATTTTCACATAACCTCATAAATGTCTTTCTCAAAAGAAGATATGGCTATAAGTAATCTCATTAAAAAATTATTTTGCTTATAAACAGTTCCGGGCAAAAATGGCACTTACTGCTTTCCCTCCCTTGAGGGCAAGGTCATTTACTTCATGTTTATTGATAATGTCCAGTACCAAGTTATAGTCTGGTTTCCTTTCACCCACCTCTGAATGGACATTGTGATACTAATAAATGGCATCATTACTGAAAATCTGTAAACTCTGGCACAAGAAATGAATGGGAATAAACAGACTCCCCTTTTGTTTGACTCTGGCATTTCCTTGAGATAGATAGGCAGCTGATTTTCAACAAGAGTCAAGGTAACTGAAGTGAAGCCCTCCATCTGATGTCAAGTTCTAATCCACAAAGAACGTCAAAAGCCATTTGTGTAATTTCTTGCATGGGCAAAAACTCAAAACTCAAGGCTACTTTCCAGGTCTAATTCCAGCAGGTAAGGTCTAGCCTATTATTCCATCCTTTTCTAACATTTATTTATTCTCCTTTACTAAAATGCTGGGGTAAAATTTCAAGACTGAATGTATTGGACTCCTACCCTTGGGAGATTTCTCTTTTTCCTGTTAGCCACTTCTCCAGCTCGGAAAAGCTTCCATTCAGTTAACGTTACAGGCAAAGTGGTGTCCTTCGTGAGCTTTGATCGCAAATATGCTTGAGAGTTCTTCAGTTCCATAGTCTTCCGCTGAAGGAACTGGGGTTTGGGAGGAAGCTAAAATGAGACATACGGTTAAAATGAGGTCGTCTTTAGTAATGACTATGCTTTCATAGAAAGTCAAAGCTACCCACAAATGCCTATCTTTCCTTTAAACCCATCCCAAACAGGGATTCTGCAATTGCTTCTCAGCTTGGTAAAGCAGCTTCTCCATTTCCTAATCCAAAGTTCTACCCTGTGACATAACCTGATTCCCGAGGGATAACAGTGCATCATCTCCACCAACTCAAAGGAAGCTTTCAGGGAGTTGGTGAGTAATTGAGGCCACAGGCTGACAGGAACCACAGAGAACTGAAAAGTTCATGGCCTGTCTAAAGCCCAGCTACTCAAACCATGGTTCCTGACTTGATAATGTAACTCGATGGGGGAGTCATAAAAACTCAGCAACAGCAAAAAGTTTTTGAACACCAACAACCATAAATTAATTTAAATCCGGGCCATGAAGAATCTGGGGTGGTTTTTGGCAGTGCTCACGTGTGCTGCATGGTGTGATGTCACTGCAGCCTTGGCTCTGAACACACGGCACATGGCCTTTGCACTCACATGCTGTCATTTTTCAGACACTAAGATTAACCAACCAATAGCAAAGCAAAGCAATTTTAAAAAGAAACTTGCACAACCAATCTCTAAAACAAAACCAAACACTCCCACTGACAACAAAAATCTACATTTCAGTGCCTCATAGTTTGGGCCCCAGTTCAACGACCACAACTTTTATATGGACAGGAAGTGATATATTCAGCCAAGCCCCTGCTGTACCTTGGGTGCTCTGAAGGCCATCTTAGCAGGGGGCAGCCTCCATGCTGAAGGAGATCTCCAAATGGGAAATGGCTGCACTGGAATATCTTCATAGGGATTCTCCTTGGCTGGATCTTTAAAAGTCAAATGAACACTGCTTAGAGGAAAACAATTAAGTGGGAACAGTGGCCATCTGCTAAAGAACGGAATGATTTTCTTCTAGGTTCTTGTGAGGATGTAAGGTTGTAAGAGCAATGGCATTTTAAGTTTATACATCACTCCAATGTTCAGCCAAGGTAAAGAACTTTCAAAACACTATACTGTAAACATTTACTTCTCAAATGGATCATCCATTATACTAGTTGAAAAATTCACTAATAATGAAAAAAATTTATACACCAAATGTTTCCACATTAGAGAAACGAAGTTAAGCCGAGCAGTGGTGGTGCATGCCTTTAATCCCAGCACTCTGGAGGCAGAGGCAGGCGGATCTCCGTGAATTCAAGGACAGCCTGGTCTTCAAAGAGAGTTCCAGGACAGTCTCCAAACTACAGAGAAACCCTGTCCCAAAAACCAAAACCAAAACAAAAACAAAGTCAAAACAAGATATGTCTGACAGTAAAAGACCATTGTACAATGAGGGGCATCACCAAATACACATCAAATTTAACTGCAAAGCATGGACACCTACATATAATATCCTCATAGATATTATCCTCAGACTGTGTGTAATAAAGTGCCGAACCAGCATTTCTTCCGAGTTCTTCATGAATCTTCCGTGAGTTCCGAAAGTGCTGAATATCTTCAAATTCAAAGGATTTCCTTAAGAAAGGAGATACATTTTAAAGTTATGCTTTCAAATAATTAGATCTCTAAATGGTAAGAGAAGACAGGAGTTGAAAAGACTTGTGCGCAAAATTACAAAACTGGTCAGGTGTGATGATGGTGCACACCCTTAATCCCAGAACTCAGAGGCAGGTAAATATCTCTGAGTTCGAGGCCAGACTGGTTGGTCTACAGAGCTCCAGTACAGCCAAAGCTACACAGAGAAACCCTGCCTTGAAGAACCCTAATAAATAAACAAATAAATAAATAAAAAATATTTTTACTTTATATGCATGTGCTCTACATGGGTGTCTGTACAACACTTGTGTGCCTGGTGCCCACAGATGCCAGAACAAAATGTCAGATCCCCTGGAACTGGATTTAGAGATGGTTGTAAGATGCTGTGTGGGTGCTGGGAATACCACCTGGGTTCCCGGAACAGCAGCCATTGCTCTTACCTGTTGAACCATCTCAGTCCCAAGAATTACTCCTTAATTAAAAATAAGGCTGAGACCACCATGTCCTAAATAACGTAAAAGAATGGACCTGCTTATCTAAAAGCTCTTTGGTGGTTGGGCAGGAGGGATAAGACAGTGTCTTGCTATGGAACCCAAGCTGGTTTCTAAGTCATTATGTAGCTCAGGCTAGCCTCAAAATTGTGATCCTCCTGCCTCACTCAGCCTTCCTCATAATGGGAATATGGTATGCACTACCCTACCCAGCCTCAGGAATTCTTGAAGTCACTACTCGATGCTCCTAGGAAGTAGAATGTCGTGAATGTTACCTGCTTTCCCCTCCTTTTCCCCGCCATGCTTTCAGCATCTCTATGCTCAACTGAAGCCTGGATTCCAAGGTGGGAAAGGAGTCTTGGGTTGCTGGGGAAAACAGCTCAACAACCAGGTACTACAAGTCATGACCTGTAAGACAAAGACTTACCTTTTGGATCTTCCCCTGATCTTCCCACCGTATTTCTTTGGCTCAGGATCCTGAGAAGAGGCCAAAGATGATTCCACACAGGAATTCTTTTCACAGTACTTTTGGTCACAGTTTCTTTCTTTACACGGCACACTGCCAGATTCAGATAAATACCTGAATGTCCTACGGGGTTTGGGCAAAGGATTTATAGAGGATCCACATTCTTGCCCCTCGGGTTCACAATAAATATTTTCCAAGCTCTTGGTTATTCCATAAGAACTATCCAGAACTCTGAAATTTGGTACTTTTTCTGTAGAGTCACAAGGTGCTAAAGCCAAATTTAAGACTTTATCTGGGGGAAGTGCTTCTATCCTTTTCCACAGTATCTGTGAGGTATAGACGTTTCCTGGAGGTAATGAAGCCTCTGGATCCACAGTGACATCTCTCAAGCTTTCAATCTGTTTGACCCTAGCACACACCCAGTTGGAGTCTGGTCCAGTTTCTGCTGGGTGAGCGTCTTTACACTCTCGCTGCTCACCTTCATGGTCACTTTGATCATGGCTTTTGGCATCTGTACTCCATGGTAAATCCCCATTCTGATAGTTGCTCTTTTCATCACCAGAGGGACATTTCTGTGGAGGAGCCTCTTGGTGGCAGTTATTATAACTCACTCCAAAGTCCTTTGGGTGAAACCTAGCTGGCTTAGTCACACCATTAGCTCTTCCTTCCCACTGCGATATCTTTTGTTTGATGTTTTTGCAGTGGCTTCGGGACAGGGTCTGAACAGCGGACCGAGTAAAGCCAACATCCATGTTCCCAGTGGGGTGCATGACCAGTGACAAATCTCAGAAAGGTGCCATCACACGTTAGCTGGAAAATGCTGTATTCTCTATTTTGTCAGAACAGAAATGATTCCAATATTTTCCTTTCATGTTTAACTTGGAGGTATCTTGTTGAAAACAACAATTTTCATCACTGATCTTTGTTGAAAACAGCTACAACTGTATGATCCTATTAAAATGAGACAGGAATATTAACATAGTTTCATGATTTCTTACTTTGAACTGCACTGAACACTGCCCACATAGCACTAAATGATCAATTTATATTGAATTTGTAAAAAAAAAAAAAATGTGCCTGTAATTTCTTAAGCTGTCAGCTTTAATACTCTGCTATATTGAATACTTTGGAAAAATACATAAGGTATTTTGTAATGAATGAATTCTTTCTTTGTGTATATGGTACTAGAGCCTTATGTATTCTAAGCAAGCACTCCATCACTGAACAACGTACACCTCCAGCCCATAAATCCATTCTTTATGAACCTCTCTCTTAATGAAACATAGACCAATGTAATATTACAAAAATCACACATAAGGCTGGGCATAGTGGTACAGGCCTTTAATCCCAGCATTCAGGAGGCAGAGGCAAGTGGATCTCTGTAGGTTCCAGGTCAGTCTGGTCTACATAGTGAGTTCCAGGACAGCCAGGGCTACACAGTGAGATCCTGTCTCAAAACAAACAAAAACAGCACATAGAAGCAGAACTGCATCCAGTAATTAAAAAGTAAAAGTAATTTACACGTCTAGACAGGAACCTATTCACAAATACATCAGGAACTAATTTCCTCCTCTTGTCTTCTGTTGTTATGTAGTATCAGTCCATCCCATACCCTATTTCAGCTGAACTGTTAGCAACACAGGATTTCACACAGGCTGCTAAAGAGACTTAATCCAAAGGCACCCATTATCTTGTCCCTGGCTGCATTTCCCACAACTCTGCCACCACACCCTGGACTTGATCAGTAGTCACCTTTTTCATCCTTCCTTTCACAGAGGCTTCACTCAGCCAGCTCCATAAAGCGTTTCCTCAAATGTGAAGGAAGGCTGGTCAAAACTCTTCCTGGCACTAAGCAGAGACCTGCTCTCAAGACCTGCTGCACAGAGGTTATAAATAGCATCCATCAGAACTTCCTGAGCTGGGGTCATCTTTCCTCCAGCTTCATCTGCATGGCCCTGATTAACAAGCAGGAAACTATCTTAGCCTGGCTCTGTCAGTGCAGCTGACCAAACTGAACTGGTATGTGTACACACACACACACACACACACACACACACACACACACACACACTCAGACCCACACATAATTTATTCTGAGAAAATGCTCTTCAGGACTTCCACAGCTTTCATTTAAACCATGTCCACAAGTTTTTAAAATCATCTTTCCTACTGTGTTCACTATACACAGGAAGGAGTCTCTGGTGGCATTTGCACACACGCTTATAAAAGTACATGAATCACACTCCCTCCTCCACCACTTGTCGTTATTCACACCCCCACCTCCCCTACTTTAGTTTTGAAGGAACCAGCTTCCTTTTGGCAGCCATAACAGCCGAACACGTGCTTGCCATAAACCTGCCTTGGTCACGTAGAGGTCAGATGCCTGTCTCGTGACAAGGAACCTTAGTCACTTAGAGGTCAGATGCCTGTCTTGTGACAAGGAACCAATCGGAAGTTAGCTGGTGGCGCTATGCTTTACGACCCTGGGTGTGCTTTACGGACAAGCGCACAGCAATGACGTAGAGAGCATAGCAACCGCCCTGGGAGGGCCTATGAGCCATAACAACCAGTTGACCAAACAACACAGGGCAACCCCTCCAAGCCTGGAAGCACACCAATCCTAAGCCTGTGCGTACCCCTAGACACTCCCCTTACGCTGCCCTATAAGATCTTTGGGGAGACCTTAGGAGCCGTCTTTTTCTAGCCGTCTGCCATGGCGGGTGGGTGAAAGACCCGAGCTAACATGGGGTTAGTTCGTTAAATTACAATAAAGCCTCGTGCAGTTTGCAGCAAGCTCTCGAATCCGCCTGGTGATTGGGGTGACCGCGAACCTGGCCTGAGACCCCGGATACTTGAGTTTTCGGGGGTCTAACAGTTTCATGCCCCCCTTTCCCCTCTGGCTTCCACATTAAGGAAGTCTTGTAATGTTTGTCTTTGTGGGCATTCTGCTTTGTGGGCATTCTTACAAGTTTGTAGGAAATTTAGCTTTGCCAGAAAAGAAACTCTAGTCTAATGCAAAAATTATTTCTTTTAAAAATTAAGAAATTAAACTCATATGGGTGGGAAAAAAACTATAACAAACAAAAACCTCAGAGGTGTGTGTGTGTGTGTGTGTGTGTGTGTGTGTGTGTGTGTGTGCACTTATTTTTTGTTTTCCTGAAGCCAAATCTCACTCTAGAGCCCAGACTGGCCTCAAACTAGTCACAGTCCTCCTGTCTAGAAATACTAGTACTGAAGCATGACAATGCATGACAAAGCATTCAGCTACTGTTTATCAACACTCTAAAGATCTTTTTCTTGCTTCTGATACTTGCAAGTGTCTTTGACACTTCTTCATTACAGACAAGATGGATCTGGCTACTGAAAGGTTTCCAGTCTTGTTAACAAAGCTTTCTACTTTCCCCTGGTTAACATGAGCAAAACTGAGGGGAAGAAAGTGAAAACTTTCAGAGCTACAAAAATCATTTAAACCTGAAAATTTAACTGGCAACAAATGGCTAAATCTGTAGAATTGCTGCACACTGATGGTGTTCAAGCCATAGCAGGCAGCTTAACTACAGGAGAGAATCCTACTTGTTCTCATTGAATGCTCTCAAAAAGCCAAACTGTAGTGACACAATGCCTATAATCCCAGCACTCAGGTTGAGGCAGAGGATTGTGAATTTGAGGCTAGTCTCTGAAGTACAGCAGGAGATCCTGTCTCAAAATAAAACACAAAAATTTTGATGTCCTTTAACATCTGCGACTGTACTGATAATGCAACAAAAACCTTTTATAGTTAATTTCACAGTTCTAATACTTCTTTTGCAAAATTGAAGGCTGAATATTTTTCTTTATGTTTGCTTTTTGAGACAGGGTGTCATTCTATAGCCCAGGCAGGCTTAGACTGGGATTGTAGGTGCAAGCCACCTAGTTTCCAAATGAGTTCATTGCTTTTATAAAATGACTTGCCTAATACGGTCTCATTAAAACAAAACAAAACAAAAAAAACTAACTTGTCAAACAAAACTTGCCTCAGACATCTCAAATTCTTCCTAGTACCTCTTCCCCATGTATCTCCTACCCTGAAAGAACCTCCAAACCCATTTCTGATCCCCTGGTCCCTCTACTATGAACAGACCTCCACCCATAAATGCTGGTTAGTTTTCAAGGTCTCTTCCAACCTTCATCTTTAAAAAACCCCTGAGTGAGGCCACCTTATTCAAATTACCAGAGGTTGCTTTTTAAGCTTGCTCAGAGACTTCTTGCAGAAGCACACGACTGCAAACATCTCACAATTTAAACACTGCCTCTTCTTTCTCTCTGTTTTTCTCTGTCTCTCTGTCTCTGTCTCTCTTGGTTTTCTGTGTAGCTTTGGCTTTCCAGGGACTCGCTCTGTAGACCACCAGGCTGGCCTCGAACTCACAGAGATCCACCTGTCTCTGCCTCCCAAGTGCTAGGATTAAAGCCAAGGGCTTCTGTGGCTATGAAGGACCTCTGAAGTCATGTAGGACTCAAAGGAGAAAGTAATGCAGTCACAGTGGGTGATCACAGCAAGGGACACAGCAGTAGTCAGCAGGTCCCTAGGAGATAAGAAATATGCAAATCAAGCACTCTCAAATTAAAGAATAAAACAGAATGCTTGCGGGGATTTTAAACCAGCCTTCTTTGCTTTCACTTCCTGTTGTTCTCCAGTGTATTTAACCATCAAATAAATACATCAAATGTAGTTATCAGCTAAAAATGTCACGTGTGTTCACCATACAGGAACCAATGTGATCCAGTCAGGTAACAAATTCTCTTTGGAAAAGAGAATATGGATGCTCAATTTACCAAAGTCTCACACACAGCCAGTTTCTTCAGATCCTAATTAAACAGATGAAGTTGCCATAATCACTTAGATCATTCTTTCTTTCTTTCTTTCTTTCTTTGTTTTTTTTTTTTTTTTTTTTTTGGTGTGTGTGTGTGTGTGTGTGTGTGTGTGTGTGTGTACAGTCATGGTTAACACCTGGAGTCATCCTCAGCTGCTCTCTACTTCAGTACTCACTGAGGCAGGGTTTCTCACTTGAGCTTGGAGCTTACCCCATTCAGCTAGTCTAACCTGCTCCCTTGTTTCAGGGAAACCCTGTCTCCGCCTCCCAAGTACTGGAATTACAGGCTAGAAGACACCCCTGACTAGCATTTACATGGGCACTGGGGACCAGAACTTGCTTTCCCATGCTTGCACAGCTAACACTTTACCCTGGAACCATCTTTCAAGCTCCAATTTAGATCACCCTAAATGTTGACTCACTAAGTGATAAAGGGGCAAAAATTTTACTTCAATTAAAAAGAAACTAATGAGCCGGATGACAGTGGTCCATGCCTTTAATCCCAGCAGAGGCAGGTGGGTTTCTGTGAGTTTAAGGCCAGCTTGGTCTATATGGCAAGTTCCAGGACAGCCAGGGATGTTACACAGAGAAACCCTGTCTGGAGAGAGAGAGACAGAGAGAGAGGTGGGGGGAGGGAGAGGGAGAGGGAAAAGGAAAGAGAGGAAGGAAAACTCGTCTGTAGCCATGATGGATTGGACTCACCTTGCTTGTACAGAAGAAGATAGATGCTTTCTATATTACATATCAGCACACAGGACTGTGATCCCTGAAGGAAGCTGGGCCTCACTTTCTCCCTGGAGACATTCTATAGCACAGCATTGAGCTGGGGAGCCCCAACAGGGTGTGGCAACCTTGCTAAGTTGAAGATAAAGAGACTGGAGTCTGAAAGGGTAAACAGAACTTTCCAGGCAATGTTACCAGAAAAAAAGAAGGAGGGATGGGAGAAAGTTCCAGAAATTTATAGAATTTACATGAAGCCTTGGCTAAGCATTGAGCTGCAAATGCAGAGGAAATCCTATGTGACTGGGCCATGGACAACCAATAGAGACCAACCAGGAGGGAACTGTAAACTGACCAATACCAAGTTCACACAGGCCCAGG